TGCACACAACACAATCTAAGCCCCACTGCTCCAGAGAATAACACTGTAGCTACTTATCATTAACTCAAAGACACAATCAGCCCCAGGCGATCCAGCTTCCCTCCATAACCTTTTGACATTGCTGCTGGGAAGGTAAATGAGAGAAGAAGTTAGACACAGCGAGGGGGGTGGGGGTGGGGATGTGGGGAGACAGAAAGACTTCATTATGAATACAGCCAGGAAGTGGTTAGACCAAAAAATAAAAAATTAAAAAATAAAACAAGAGAACTTTACAATAAAGACAGTTTAGTGATTTTTAAATCCAAAACATAGCCTTAATTCCATGTGCCGACTGCAAGTAACTGCATTATAACAGCAAACTCGCCACTCGTAGTTCCAGCAACACAGACTGCATTTTTCCCTCTGGTGTGCATGCGAGCCATGCATGGGTTAACATTTTCCCAGTGAGAATAGTTGGGATATTGCAACTCGGACTGGCCAGTCAGCAGAATGTTATGAATGGGCACAATGAAAAACCCCAAGTCCATGCTGTCGACCCAAGAATGCTTGCCTCCATGTAATTAACTTCGCTCTGTGTACAGAATGAGGTACTGCTGAAATAACTCTTCTTATTTCTGTTTCTATTACTGTCATGTTTTCAAGAGGGGGAAAAAAATCACATTCTGAGAATTCAAATGGAAAATATTTTTGCCTGTCCATACTTTGAAGTATCCTGTGACTAATACAGTGATTTGGATAGCACTGGAAATGGAACGGACCACTTAAAAAGGGGTGGTACGTGCTCTGCAAAAGCTGGCCTCATTGCTTTTCGAGTGGATGAATGTCAGCTAATGGTAATGTGTATTCGTGTAGTGATATAAAATAGGGCATAAGATTAAACATAAGATAAATGTATAAATGAGGTATACCTTAAAACCTGTTTCATACATACAGCTCACCTCAAAGTGTTTTAGCAATTAGATTTGCACTTTGCACGCATGCAAATATACGCACACGTGCACGCATTTAGTCCTAAATAAAATCTCTAAATAACTGATAGTGAGTTGGAACAGACTGCAACTATGTAAAGAGTAACATCTGCAAACCATCGAATTATAAACCTACAGTATAACTACAGTATAATTACATGAGAGGCTCCCTCTTGGGCACTGTGTTGTTAGAGGGAAAAGGGATGAGGGGAAAGTGGAACATCTACAGTAATCTATCCAACTTCATTTCACCGGAGTGATTCTGCCTCGGGGTATGCACAAGTCATAATGCATTTGACAAATAGTCTCCCACTAAAACAGGCATTTGCGAAGAAGTGGCCTTCAGCGCTGGTATACACAGCTGAGTGTACGCTGAACAAACAAGCCTCCCACTCAGCGAGGAAAGATACAGAGAGGCTTCAAAAAGATTAGGAGAAATCTTGGGCGAAAAGTAAAGATGACTCACAGTGATTGTGCAAGTGCAGGACAATGCAAGTTGGATGGAGTTGAGAAGAGCAACAGAGCCGTGGGGTTCTTAACAAAACACAAATCGATGCTTTTCTCATGTGTTGTTCTTTGCATTGTTCTGAAATACGGGCGAACAGGTTGTTTTTACAATGAATTGCAGAGAATCATCATAACGGTTTTAAAGAATATCTTTATCCTTTTGGTTTTTGAGCGTGAACTTGACTGAAAAACAAAACTAAAGCATAACCTTCTGATTAAATATTTGGGTGATGCTTACATTCTCTTGTCAGTTTGTTAGCATTAATGTAGTCATCAGTCATGCAATAAATCCTACCTTCAGATTACAGTGCTCAGTTTTAGTTCTTACAGTTGTTTTAAAGAGGTGTTGATTTAACACAGTGACTACAGTATTTAGTTTGCAGTGCTAGCTATATACACTGACTACAATGTATTCTGCCCATCCCATTTATAACACAGAAGAAAAGGCCAAATAATGAAAACACCTATGTTGAGGTTCCTGGAAGTTAGCTCATGTAACATATTTTAACAAAAACTGAGCACTGTAACCTTCCTGAAGGCAATCTGTGCTGCAGGAATGTTTTATTGCATCTGTTTTAACAACCTGTCCCTGAATAAAAGCATTACATTAACAATCTTTCCTTCCTCTGCTTCTGATTTCTTAAAAAAAAGTAGAAAAATAGAGTAGAGATCTGATCATTGTGTGTGCACACAATTTACAGTCATTCACACAAAGCTTAACAGTCACCCTCAGAAATAGATTTGACTTTACACCACTAGAACAGGAAGCCATACACTTTTTTATATGTGAACTGTCCCACTTTGTATTATGTGCACTTCCTGGTTGGTGTATTTAATACTGTACTGTAATGCATAATTACACGAGTGATTGTCAAACAAGCTATATATGGGTGTTGTATAATTATATATAATATATCTATATCTATATATATATATAATATATAATATATGATATAGATATATATATATTATATATAGATATATATATATATATATATATATATATATATATATATATAGAGATAGATAGATATATAGATAGAAATATATATAGATAGAGATATATATATATTCTAATGCTTCTTCAGGAAGGCCACTGTAATTGTAGTTTTGTGCCTATTTGAAAACATGCAGCTCTTAACATTGCTTAGAATTATGTTTGCAATTTACCATGGAAAAATTAAAAAAAAATAAAATAAACAGCAATGACTAACTGTCTATGTGAATCTGACTTTAAGAAAAAAGAAATCAGCTTCCTCACTTGCTGATTGAAGTGGCATTAAACAGCTGCGGTGCTTCTAATACTGAGCCACTCCAGCAGGTCAACTCCATACTTGTGAATTCAAGGCGCCAGTAAGATGAACTATTGCCAAAAATGTCTTATAAAGATCCTGTATCATTATTCAACAGTTACGTGTAGAAGTAGGAGTACAGTGCAGATAATGTGTCGCTTTACATCATAGTCACAGCTGTTACTTTAGTAATGACAATGTTATATGATTCTGTCCTTGAAACTCAAACCTGCTCCTTACCGGGCCAACAGCCTCTACGCTTGCTGAATCATGATAACCAATACAGTTCATTGTGTTAATACTACAAGAGCTGGGACGCAGCCTCAGTCAGAAACAACAAGGTCCTACTGTGATCTTCAGTAGATAGCACATCTGCAGCTACTCTGTCTGCCTACAGTATATGTGTTTAGCTAACCGCACACACACACAATTATACAACTTTTTCAAAATCACAAAAAGATTACAAAAGTACTTCTATCTGAATTCTGCTTCTAGTGATAGACTAAATTAACGTGAAAAAACAAAATCGAGCTATAACTATGAACACTTCATTTGGATTTTAAAGACTGATGTTGATGTCCCAGTGAGTCAGGAGTTGAGGAATAACTGCAATCCTTGTAAACCATTCGCGTATTGTGATTCAAATCTCTCTCCAAGTATGTGAGTGTTGGTGTAGAAGAGTGTGTCCACGGGCAGCTAACCGCATGTGTTGGACATGTATACATACAGGTGACTGTGTGCATGAACAGGATAGATTAACAATTCAAATATTGTACTGAGCTATAATGTTTCACTTTGTCATCAGCAAAAGCTAACTGCCTGCTGGCTTTCTTCCAGGTGCTAAGGCAAGCAAACCAATGTGAATGGCTGGGGGTATACTGCCTTCTTCTAGTTCTGCTCAGTAGTTACTGGTAAATGTTTACACAAGTTTTACCTTGACCACCGCAGTAAAAGAAACTTGGCTCATTACTTGCAACTTGTAACCTTGGACTATTAAGTAGGTCTGTATGTACATTTCTCACTTGTAGATGCCAAACATTTTTCTGCAAGGAAAAGAATCTGCAATGGTGTCCACCATGGACAGAGTGCAAGAGTAAAAAGCTTCTCTCTTTACTGTAGGCCCAACATCAACAGGATATCAATAACCACATAATTCAAGAAGGAATTGGAAAATCCAAAACGCACTACTGCAGATGCAGCCTTTTCTTTCCTTTCTTTCAAAGAGCATGTTTTCAGAGATAGATAATCCATGACAGGTGTTAGCACTTCAAGTTGTTCAATAAACGCTTCTTTTACTACTGAATCGTGCGTACAACGCAGTTAATTTTTCCAGCACTTCTTATCAGTGCTAATGTAAACACAAAAGCTAATATAATAATCAAACTTTAACCAAACACGGAAGGCTTCTTTTAAAGGCAAAGGCGAATAATCATTTCTAAAAAGTTATTATGCGCACAATGATGTGGTTGAATTTTTGTCCATACAGGTGTTGATAACCAAGCATGCCAAAATATACTAGTGATTAGTACTAATGGAAAGTATCTTACCGAGCAATAATGCAAAATAAAACAGACGAAAATGCCAAATCACGCTGCAACATGTAGAAGTATAGTCTTAACCAATACGCATAGCATGCTCTCATATTTCAACGCAATGCTGATAATTGTATTTCGGAATAATAGTGCACTGGCCGTGTAAAGTAGCTGGAAAGTGTATTTCCGCAGTTAATTCTGAAGCATTTAGATCATATAGAAAACATTCTGGCGGTCTATATATATTAGAAGACAAGAAAAAATGCACACGTTCATTTTGTCCATTTGTCAGTTTTGGTTGTTGAAAGCAATCACCAGCTCCTCCGGTGCGCCAGATAAAGTGGTGCGCTCCAACTCTGCTCACAGGACATCCACAGCACAACGCAGCCCCAGTTTATTCACACTAACACACAAGCGATTTGAAATTAAACGCCACCTCACGTGCACGATCTCAAAGCAGGTGTCCTTTTTAGCAAAGTTTATGAGTCCAAATACATTAAAGAAATACAACGAAGTTGACGGGGAAATGCAGCCTGTCACTCACTGATCCCGAGGGAACCAAAAGTGCAGCACTTGTCACTAGAGGTCTTCAAACAGCGTGCCTGAAAAAATACGACCCGTCTGCCACCATGCGTATTCAATATACATCATGAAACTTATGGCTGCACATCTGACCGACTAAAGTAACCGTAAACGTTTACCTTGTTGGAATGGTAATAGTCCAAACCGGAGTCAGTCGGTAGCGTACATGAACCCACGCTTGAAGGGGGAGCTGGATAAAATCTGACGTCCATCTCAGAGTCCGCAAGACTGACGGCATGAAAACGTAGCTCCCAAAAAAAAAACCTGTGCGACTTCTCTCTCTCCTGCACACACACACACTCACACACACTCACTCACACACGTCTCTCTCTCTTTTTTTTCTTTTGTGTATCAAACCGAACAAAAAAGTAGTACGAGAAGATGTTCAGTCTTTATATCCGTCCTACAGTTACTTCGGCCCTAACTGCACGCTGATGCTCTCATATATAACATCCCTATAAAGTTCACTTGGAAAGAGGGGGAAAAGAAAAGACAGCTGTCCGCCTCAGTAATCTCTGAAACTAGGAAGCTAAACAGTGTAGTTGTTTGACAGCGAAACAAGCCGGGCGTGCTGCAGGTGAAGAAATGATCTTGTCTACGGTTTCTCCCAAAACGCCCGCTCTCCGTTCCTCGTTTCCAGACGCGCTGTAGCTTTGTCATGTGGGAGCGCTCTGATCCATCCATGCGTTCCCGTCCACTCAGCAACTGCTAGGCTGCGACCTCTACCGGTCAGAGGTGGACAGGCGAGAAGAGGGTCAGTGGGGCTGGGAGGATTGACGAGGTATAGTGAAGAATAAGTCTTTATTAGTGAGTTTAAGTGACCCTCAGATAGTGGGCCAACGACAGCCTCTCTGCGTGGTCGTGAGAGCATCACAAGTTGATTTAACACTGAGGTGTGGGCATTTGGCTGATTCAAAGAGCTGTAGAAATGTTTAGTTTTTTTGTGAAATCTCTTTGAAATGATCAAATCAGCTCTTACACAGGCTCTGTTCATCTTTCTAAAAATGGCTATAAACATCTAATCTTTACTATTTAATTAATTTTAGTGTGATAACACTATATCTGACAGACACAGAAAATACAAATGCATTCAATTCAATAGGAATTTAAAGCTTTATGTTATATTTTCATGAAAACATGAATTTATGCTTTGAGATTCCTGCTATGACCCTGAATTTAAATGACGTACTTGGTATGATGTGCAGCCTAATGCTGCCATAATTTGGACCATAAAGTTCACGGTGAATCTCATTAACTTTTTCACTTCACTTCATTATTTAAATGTTGTTTACAGCAGTTTTGTCATATAAATAAAAAATATTGTTATGTATTTTGATGCATTTCAGTGGGTCGGCAGCCAGTGGAATACATCTCACTTATAAATAAAGGAATCTCTGTATCTCTGTGTATCTTCTTCGCATTTCACAACTGTTCATCCGTCCAATTTCAAACTCGGGAGTTTTATCTCAGTGGACCACAGAAGCCATGTGGATGGTCAGTGGTCTCATATTGTGGTCTCATTTATCATCTACCTATTGCTAGGTAACGGGAAAATACTTGACCTCACATATGATGTCACAAATCTCCCTTCTGTGAAGAAACCAGATCACCACTAATGTGGCACATCAGATAATAGAAGACTAGAAGTCCCAACTTTGCTGAGGGGAAAACAGTTCTCACCTGATTTTGTATAGTCTGAAGGTGCAAAATAAATAAATGCTTAAAGGCTTCCATCTACTGGATTGGAAACCTTAGTTGGGAAATGGGACAATATGTTGGTTTTTTTCTTGTTGTTGTCTTTATAAGCCACCAAACAGTAAAATTAATCATTTTATGGGACAAAATTTGATAGAGGTCATAAGACATTGGGTATCATCGAGACTTGGAAAACTATTGTATCTTGACACTTGTTGTGTTTTCTGATCATTTAATATGCCAGGGTTATCTGGTGTGTTGGTTTTTGTAATTTAATAATGCTGTTGAAAGTTTGACAGTATTTAGGTTGTGTTACAGTGGAATGTAGATCATTCAGAAATCTGTGAGTTGGTTTTTGATGCCTTAGCTAACTATAGTAGCTGGCTAACTATGGAGTCATGGCTATGTAGAGATAGAGTGCTAAAATCATTCTCTGACACAGCAAAACCTAACATTTTTAGCCACTTTAAGGTATTTTACTGGTGTCAGGCATCTGTTGCATTGTGTAGGGATAAATGTTTTCCCTTCCACCTGACCTGATTTTCTCACTATGGCGATATAAATTGTTGCTCTAATTTTGACCCTTGAATTCACACACATAATCACATTCACACACAGCTGGACAAATAGAAAACATGCTCACACAGCAGTCAACACAGCATGATGCACACACAGAACAACTATAGCTTTAGCGAGGTACAGATAAGAAAAAATAACCTTGCTCCCAGCCAAATGTGTATTTTTACAAATGGGATGAAGTGGTGTTGTGTGCTCAGTCTTATGGCTATGTGCAATTTATTCTTGCGTTCTTGCGCAGAGTGTGTATTTTTTCTCTCACTTTGAGAGTGTGTTTATGTTAACCAAGCTGCCATTGTTATCCCAGTGGGTGACTTTTTGGCCCCCTCAGGACTCTGCCCATGTCCATGTTGCTAACACACGGCATGGTGGCTCTGGCCCTGGGGTTTGAGCCTGCGTTAATACCAGGCACAGATGGGTTGCACCATGGGCTTGCTGTTGCAGTCTGCCATCAGCTGCCAGCTCAGGCTGTCCTGACTCCAATCTCATAAGGTTAACTGTCACAAGGATACTGATTTCTTCCAATTCTGTACCTCTGTGTTGGATTCCTCTCTGCCTGTCTCTCACTTTCTCTCTCACCGTTACTCGTTCGCTCAGTCGCTTGCTTTTACAGCAGAGGATACAGTACACAGGGTTATCTGGCACATGAGGACTCATGCCTTCATTGGGAAAGAATGCGTGTAGTTTTTTGCATTACAGCCTTACGTGAAACAGAACAGTGAAGGACTCATGCCACATATTAGGAAAATGGGTGATTAAAAAAATAAGTAGTGGAAGAAATCGGGTAAGTGGAAAAAAGTGCAAGCGAAGGATGCCGGTAAAAATCGAGATGAGAAGAAATTAATGTGTGGTGGAGGGGCACAGAGAATGGTGTAACATGTAAATAAAAGGGAGATGACACACAACTGAGGCATAGTCAGGAAAACTTTAACATTCAAGGACAAAAACTTTCCAGTGTAAAATGCAAATCGTGTCATCCAGCTTACCCTCTATTCATCCATTCAGCACAATAGTGGCACAAACATTTTTATTGCCACGGTAAGAGCTCCTGCTAGCATCAGGAAATGAGAGGAAAAAATAAAACATTAGTTTCCATTAAGGGTTATAACCTTGCTTGTACTTCGATGATGTCAGGAGCGCTGGTTTAATAACTTTATCTGAGCTGTAGTCATTTTACTTTTCATAAATTGATAACTAATTTTTCAATGCAGAAATATAACATTTAGATGAAAATGACTTTAAGACCTCAATAATTTTCCTTTTTAAATAAAGCAGTAAAAGACCTCACTGATGTTTGCAGTGCTTCGTGCTAAACGCAAGCAATCAACTTTGGAGAGAAAACATTCGTTTTTCGGTAATTGACGTACAATTTCACTTAAAAATAAAGCACTTACTGATAAGAGGCAGAAGACAAAGACGAAAACACTTACTTCTTTTTCTACTCTGCCCCTCAGATCTCTCCGCTTCCATTTAAGTGAGCTTTTAATTTTTCTTCCAGATAGAAATGTGCACTGATTATCAACAATTGCTGCTTTGCTGTTTTTTAAGTAAATGTTTAACTCACATATATCACAAGGTTCCCTAAAGAACACAAAAAGTGGACTCAAAATTAACTGTGACTTACTTAAATATCACAAAAAGTAGCAACTTTCTACCTTGTGCAATATTAAACCTCTAAAAAAACCAAATTATCAGTTATGTTGATGCAGCACATGTTTTACCATCATCAGCTTTTCAGGGTTATTTGTTGACTTTGGACTGACATGTTCTAAGCGGATTCTTACTAAAATACCAAACAAAAAAAATGTGATCAAAAGTGGGGGTTTTCCTATAACAATTCACCTATATTCTTTGATGAGGTTTAAAGATCAGTTGCAAATTCAAACGGCAAAGACAGTGACTGAATTTTAAATGACCTGGTTAGAATTCTAAGACTGTCAGTATGAGAGGAAGCAAAAAGACAAAGACAACAAAGTACAGAAACAAAAGGTGATTCATCAGTTCCAAATGTGAGTCAGTTTGCTAGATTCTGTAACTACAGGGAGAATTTGACAGTGTGTCAGTGAGAAATGTTCTAACAAGGATGCATAATTTTGCTATTTATTGGCATTATCCAGTGACTGCAACCTAAATGACTATATGCTAGGTTATTTGCATTTATAGCAGCTTAGCAGCAACGGGAAATATGTTACACATAAACCATTCAAGCCTATTAAAGAAGTCACTGCTGAAAACAACAACAAAAAAAACCATACCTTACTTATTTACAATGTAAAAATAGACTGGTTTAATCACAAGACCACTCAAAAGGAAATGGTTTGGGTTAAAATAATCACTTTGTTAAGGTTAGGGTACCTCGGTCATCGTTCTTACTGTTTAAGTATTTGCAGGCCCCTAATTTCTCTTTTCAGGATCTACTTGATGAAATTTAAATGCTTGAATTTCCAAAAAAACCCTTCTCATACTGTACATTGCTGCATCACCTCTTTTCACCCTCTCGCTAACAGAATGGGGAATAAAACCACAGCAAGTCAGCTGGCGTTATCTGGACTTAGTGCAGGCAGCTGTTCATTCTCTGTTTGAGGGTATGCCAAGCTAGCCTCTAGGCAAAAATGTGCCTGTTTGTTAGACAGTGACGTAGATAAGTGACAGATAACATTTGCTACAGTTTCACCACAGCTGACTTTGAAGTTCATTTTCTCTCATCTGCTGGATGTGTGTTACTCAACATCAACTGTATATAAACCAGTGGAATGGTATTTTCCTTGAGTAACAATGTTATCGACGCATTGCTTTTTACCATTTAAAGAAACATTTTCCATTGCTGACAAACAATTTAAAACAGGAAACAAACTCTCCAGTGCTAAAGTTCAGTGTGTCACCAACCCATTCAGTGATTAGTGCTTTTGTTTCAGTGTGGATTGTAGTGTGTTTTACACAAGCTCTTTTCAACCCAAAGATGATAATTACTTTGAATAATAAACCTTTTTTCAAACTACATGGCTCCTAATGCATCAAAATGAAACCCAAACTAACGATAATGGACGGAGATCAGTGAATAAGATGAAAAATGCCTGGTTTGTAACAAAAAAATCCTCTAGACACTGTACCTCCAGAGGTTGTACCGTACATTAAATTCACCATTTCTTAAGTGGCCTTCTCCTCCTCCTACACAAGAGAACACACATTAGCCTACTCTTTCATCTGTAACAAATAAGCAGAGTTATGCAAGTGTTATTTAATGTCACTATAATAAGAGCTTCAGTTCCCCACTAGTTATGGGAAGTGAAGCTGTCAAGGTGGAGTTTCATCAGACACCACAAGACTTTTGCTGTTGGTCATTTTATGCAAAATATTAATGCTTATTCTTCTGTAAAACAGAGGCCAGTGCTTTGGTTTCAGGAATTACCACGAGGACCTCTGTAGGTCAAGTGTTATCTTTGCTATCATCTGAGCAGAGCAAGGTTATTCTATGATTTTTTTTTATTGCATCCACTTACATTGCTTTTAACCAAAATTTGCAGTCCTAAATGTTGCTGCTTACCTCCCTGATTTAATTTAGCACCCTTGCGAATATTGCAACAACATTGCCTTGGTCCACTGTTAGCAATTCCATATAAGGTTGTCCAGAGTACAGCAAACAGCAAAGTAATGGTAAACAGGAAAGAGTTCAGTTGGTCCATTAGGCAGAGAGATGACTCATTAATGACCTGAATCTACACAGAAAACTGTTTCGCAGTTATTACACAGAAGCAGCATATTTGTGTGGGGAGGAAAAAAAAGTCAAACCCATGGAAACTGATTATGCTAAAAAGACTCACCTTTGCTTTGATTTGTGTCATTTGTGTTCTGCGAAGCACTTTGTTATAGAGCAGCTTGTGAAAATGCTTTGTAAATGCCTTTATAAATGCCTTTATGAATGACTTTGCCTTTGACATTGCCTCTCATGCAATAAATTTCACTTTATGTCAATTTAAGCTACATCAGACTGGTACTGAGGTACTTAATTTTCTGCTTTCATATTTCCACTAAAGTCAAGCTACCTAAATAAAAAACCCTTTAGGTCAGTAAGTTTGGTTGTTCTAACTCAACCATATACCGAAAATGAATTCCTGTTTCTCTTCAAAACTGTTCTACTCTGATCTTACACAGAAGACAACGCAAATCCAGACAAGTAGGAAACAAGACAAACAATGGAAATGGTGACATGACAGGATTTGGTGGCATGACATTTTGGGTAACAAGGCACCATTATTGCTCAGATGCACGGTTACAGCTAGACTTCCTAGACACAGCAAGTAGTTTCGTGTTGCGTAAAATTGAAACACTGACCACAATGTTACAAAGGAATAGATTTTTACCTCAGAACATATGTGCACGTTGTTTTGACCACCAGTACTTTTCATTTCCTTCCCTGTCCGACTGTGTTTCTGCAGCACATAAAAACTTTTCCAATTCAGAAACACTTTGTGCCAGAGCTCAAGCGAATTAAAGTGTGCAAATAAACTATTATGTATGTCAGTTCCAGAATAACAACAATTATACGCAGCACAAAGGGCTGCTCAATGGTGAACCTTTGCTAACCTTTTCTAGCCACTGACATTCAATAATGGGACTATGTTGTCTCTTGTTCCTTTGGACAATCATCCATTGAAACAACTGCCATTCATGCAGTTTGCTCCACCCTCTGCGTGACCCTTTTTCATACTAGTAATTAGCTGCTGTTGAATTTCTACCAGATGCAAAGCAACCACGTACAATATTGACTATTCATGTGGATATCTATGGCAGTTTATTAGATTATCATTTGATGCACCACTCTCAAGTCTGACATATAACTGGTGCATTGTGATTTGGTTGTATTTTTCCAAAAGAAATGAATTTTAAAATGTCAAACTGTTACTAGAATTAAAATTTAGCTTTGAATTAAGGTGAGGAAATGTGCATGCAATTCTTTCTGTTTTGATGCAAGAAAATGGAAACGATTCCTCCAAACATCTGTGCACAATTGCAAAAAATTACTTTTAATCATGTTTTTACAGCTCAATCATCCCCTCATCCTCCCATTCCACTTCTGAATAAACCCTCTTCTTCATCATCCTCTCATTCCCCAACCTTCTACTTATGTTGCACATGAGAAATGAGAGGGGGATGGGAGGGAAGATGAATGAAACAGGGAGTGGGGAATGAAAGGGAGGGGGGAACAAGAAGAGAGCAAGATTGGGGAAAATGCCCTTTGACTGGATTTAAAAGTCTGTGGCATTTCATTTTCAGAGAGAGGAGAGCTTCATCTCCTTCAGATCCTTTAAGGGCCAACCTAATTGATTAATGTTTCCATCTCATTGAGAAGAGGGGGGGTTGTGGTGGGGGACAGGGGGCATTTGAAGCTTAACTGGAGCCTTTTACATTCCCAAGTCTTAAAACAGAACCACCACAAAGAGAGATGATGACAGAATGAAAGTCGGAGTGATGAAACAAAGTGTAAAATTCCAGTAGATGAGTAAAATATGTTGAAGGTCAAAGTTGTTTCAATCTGAACATAGAGGGATAAAAAAATAGTCGTGTCTTACCCCATACTATAAGCTCCCCTTGTAATGAAATAATGTACGTGTTTTTAGCGAGGTATTCAGTTTTCAAAGAGGCTGTTTAGGTTTCTGCACCTGTCATCCAGCTGGGCAGCAGCAGGCACTCTATATGATTGCAAAATCTAATGTAAGAAATCCACTGCCTTTTCATTGAAAGTGAAGACTGATAAAATTTAAAAAAAAAAACATGTCACTGACATGAAATCTAAAGTAAAGAAGGAAAATATACTTTCATATCTTGATAATTTAGTGCTTTGAACAGGTGATGCTTTCCCCAGTAACAGTATTTATTTTTGACACATGATACATAAAGCCTTACAGTAATTTCCAGCCTTCCATGCCCACGACCCGAGGCCACGGGAACACAAAGCTGATCATGGCTGAACAGAAGTAATGGAAATTAATGTGAGGACAGACTCATAACATGATAGCTCTGTAGGCTCAGGTGTAAGCTGAGGTATGAATCTCAAAACTCTCTGAATGAAAATATACCATGATTACTTGCCCTTTGCATGTTTTTGACACCAACATGAAAATATTTATATATCGAAGACTCTACAGGCATTTCCAATCACACAACAAAACCAGTGGAGAGAAGCCAAAACAGTACTGACCTTTACCCAACATGGTATATTAAATATGAAAGGTCAGCTTCCACGGTTGGGGGAGGGTGGAAGTTAAGTCTAGCACATAGCAGACACAGACAAAATACTGTAATATCTATCAGGCAAATCCCCGAGCTGCCTTCAGAGGTCATTTGAATGTGAAGGGTGTTGAAGCAAGAGGAAAGCAAAGATACATAGTTCAGCAGTCCTTCCGCTGTTGTTGAACATGAGGCATGCTGCTCTGCAGTTGCATTTTTATAATCCTATTAATCATGCAAGCTTCTGTTACATCTGCTCGACTTCCTGAATCACAAAAATTGCAATTTAATATAATTTGCGGTATTTTTTTCCCCCTTAAACTAAATAATACAAACTCCTCAATAACAACTGTACAATTGAATTCTGTTCAGTGTAATTAAGGCTCAGTTTTATAATTCAAATGTCCTTCTGAAAACGGAGTCAGCTATTTAGCTGCCAATCACTCTGCTCATCGCTGAATGCATGTAGTCACCAAACAAAACAAAATTATTTCCCTTTATGCAAGCAGCTGCTTTTCACTCAGAATAAATTACTGTACAATAAGTTTGATGAGAGCCAGACATCTGTAGCTATGTTAACACATCATCTAATATTAACGTAAATTCTAGATCTTTAAATGTAAATCAACACATTGACTATAATCACATAGAATTTATATGTATTTCTTTCCCTCACAGAAAAGAATGCCTGTCAGCTTGGGACTGAGTTTTACTTGGGTATTATTATTTTTTTTATATTATATTGCTTTTAAATTACATTTGAACTTAAAAACATAGTAATTCATTTTATTGAGGTTTCGCATTAGTAAAAGGCAACGTTTCTTTCAACTCCACAAATCTAATCCAAATCCATTTTTCTTATTAAAGCATTTACATGTTTGAAAACAGAGGAATTGTTTTGAAAAATTAGATGCTCTTTTTGACATACTCCAAGTCCCTTCATTCGAATCACCAAGTGAGCGCTTTTGTTTTTTATTTTTATTTTTCTTTGATTATCCATCTACTTCATTCTGAGATTGGGCATGCCAAACAGTTTTCTTCTCTCACACAAATATTACCACTGAGAAAGTCATAATGTTATGAATTAATGACAGTGATAGCAGAAAACAGAAAAACTACCAAATGGTTTTCATTAAAGAATAACATCGTGTACTACGACATTAAACATCCATAGTAAAAGCCTTTGCTCCAAATGAAATTAAAGAACTTCAGTTTCTCCTCAGAAACTCTTGAGCTGCGTCCCAATTTTTGAAGATCGCATGTCAAATCTGCAGCTAATCCACAAATAACATGTTAGCATCAGTCCAAATGACCCATAAATTCCAAGCATTTCTAAGTTACTTATTGCTGTTGCCTTGTCAAAGACTGTAAGAGTCACAAAGCAAAGTTTACTGGAGAAGTTATGATGGTGCTATAAACAACCCTCAAATACTGGGCCATTGTAAATTGTAGCTTCTATGGTATAGCTCATCATGTCTACACTGTTCTTAAAAACCATGGTGTTTATGTTGGGTTTCCATTATTTACATTTTGTGGGAGGTTCGTTGGTGCTGGTCATGTAACAATGTGATAAAAATCTGAAACAAAAGACAGTGTAAATATAGCATATTACAGTGATAAAGTGAGGATAGTGAGGACTAGTTTGGTCTGAATTTGAGCAAAAGAAGTAAGTTAGTAAGTAAAATTATTTATGTAGCACTTTTCACAGACAAAAATCACAAAATGCTTCACAATACAAAGAATGAAAATACAACATATAACAATGTAAAAACAATAAGAAAGCTGCATTCATCTTACATCTTTACAATAGGATGGTACTGGTTATGTGGACTAGATGCTGACGGACTGGAGCTGTGTGGTGATGGTTTCATAATTTCCATTATAACAATCAGAAGACTAGAGAAAGCAAAGGACTCCTGTGACCTCCTGCTTAACAGTATCTCTTGTCCTTGACATAAAGGCCTTTCTTGAATATATCTCTTTTGTTTGTCTCATCTTTTTTTTATTATTTCATGAAAAGTGTTAAGGATGAACAGTGGTAGGCACAGATGGATTGATTAAAATGCCATCAGTACTGAAGCTTGCATGTAGCATATTTTGAGTTTCCAATGTTCAGAATATTAAACCTAAGAAATATGATTTGAAATTGCAGCATTCACTGATGTTCGGAAGGGCTTGGTAACTTGCTTTCATAAACGGATTGGCCATCTGGAGAGCTTGGAGTTTTCCTGGTGGCTAGTCGACCTGTGGGTCAGGCAGCAAGCCAAGCAAGGCTGATACAAAAAGATTTTAAAACGTCCCAGACTGTAGCTTGATCTGACAGCTAGAGAGGAACAGGGGTGGGAGGCTGAAATATGAGGAAAAAAATTAAGACATAGAATGTGAAAAAATATTCAGTTAGAAGTGCAAGAAAACTATTTATCGCCGTATAGAAGGAGGAACGAGAAATGCCATCAGTGCAACAAGTGTTACTGCTGTTAACATTAACTTCCTATATAGCACGCTGTTCACACTTAAGAGCCATCCTACAAACTGGCAAACATAACCAAAAAGCCATCTTATAGCATTTAAAATGAGTATTTTGTACATAAAGCTAAAGATATAAGCTCTGCTAGCACACCTTATAGAGTGCATATTGTAAAGGGTAAAGTTGCTGCTTGTACAGAAATTTCAATGACTGCTTTAATTTAAAACATGGCAATTTACAGTTGCATTGTTATTTTATTTTATTGTACCTAGGGGTAGAGAAAACCAACAATAACATAAAAATGGACTTGTTGCTGGCACATTCATTTCCTCATATTGTTATGATGTATAAGGTGCTGGGGTACAGCTTCCTAGCACGCTTCTAACATATTTTGTATTTTGGTACCTACAACTTGATATGATGGGATAAGATGACACACACCATTTTATGCACATTTCACATTTGAGGTCAATACATTTTAAGATTTTTTAAGGCATTGAGATGCAAACAGCAAAAATAAATATCTACTGATAACACAGTAAATTTAAGGGTCGTCCCCCCCCCCCCCCCCCCCAATTTATAATATTGACTCTTGCAAGTTTTCATTTTACTGGGTTTGTAGGATTTTAATTCAACTAATATTATATTTTTTGTTGATGCAATTTTTTGCAACTTACAAAATATTACGTTTTTTACATTTTTACTGTTCCTCTGGATGTAGCGTGTACTGTTTATTTGGGACTGTATTTAGATAGCAGCAGTGGTTTTGTAGCAACACTGACACATTTCAATAGTTCTTTTGAAATGGGTTGGCCACAGAAATTCCCATTATCGCATCTTCTGAATTACAACCAAGAGGTTGCTGTGAATGGTTTTTCCAGTTCAGTCGCTCATTTTTTAGAGCTATGACCATGGCATTAACCTTGGTTAACCACACCTTCTAGTAATTATCCATTCACATATTTTTTTATTTACTTTGCTAAAAAAAACAACAAAATGAAAAATAGTCAGGGGCAAAACAGATATGTCACCACAGGCCACAAAAAGAATATCCACCTTAAGTCGACAAGGAAAAGAATCTAATTTTTCACTGTTTCATTTTATCGAAGTAGACACAGCCTCACACTGATCTGAAACACCTACACGGGAGGCATTTACTCATTGCTTTCTCTCCCCCTTCTCTTTTCAAGTTCAATTATGCGGCCGTTTCTCACCAATATTATCACCACCCTAAATTCATCATTTAGGACTAAAGCTGAAACTGTGAGGAGTTGTGCTGCCATTTTTCTTCTATCCGCAGTCAGGCTCTGACCACAAATGTACAGCTGTCAAAAACTTTCACCTATAATTAACAGTGCTGTCTGTAAAAGCAACTGAGAGATAAAAAGATTTCACCTCACAGACTGTGCTGGGGAGAGGTAAATCCCCCTTCCACCATACTTTTAGTTTCATGTATCTAAGTCAATTTCTTTTGGTTATGTAAAATCAAAACATAATTTCAACCACCGAAGCATTCGCAGGCAGCCTTAGTGAAGTACCGCAGTTTATTTCAATGGTGCTTTTTTGGAAGCGTTTTTCAAATTAATATTTGACATTCTGCAGACATTTAATTGCTTCCTGTAGTTCTGTGAGTGACAAATGAAACAGCCATCAAGCTCTTAAGTCATCAAAGGACTTTTTATTCCTTTTGTGGTGACTTGGAAACATTAATTATGAACATCTGAAATAAAGAATGTCTTTATTTCTTTCTGCATCTTACTTGCGACAGGCAACATTTCTACCTGCAGTACATAAGCTTAAATGTGGAGACACCATCACTTTAGAAAAGCTAATCTCATGCAGCATAATCAAGTATACTTTCTCACAGATTCTCTGAGAGCAATTTCCATCTGCACAAAAGATGTATCTTGAATTTTAGATAAGTGAAAAGAGGAGAGGATCTACAGATTTATACCATCTTGTAAAGTTACATAAGCCACTCTAGGCTCATGACATACTTAAATAAGCAAGGTTATGTAACAGCTCTATAACTGCACTTTACCATTGAATAGCAAAGCAAATTAAGTAGGTGCACAGGAATTTACAAGTGAAGCAAAACATTGTACCAGATTCCTGCTTTTGTTCTCCGTGTGCATTAAGCTGTGTTTTCACATAAAAAAATAAAGGTACAGCTGTAAAGTATTTCCCCCACTGCTGATGACTCACAGGAAGTTAAAGGGAAAAGTGAAAAATAAGTCAAAGCTGCACAAACAGAGCACGCACATGCACAGGCACACGTGCACACAATGTTTCTGTTAAGTTTATGCGAGACGCAGACAGATTGGCTGTGTGTTGTACCCATCTACTAAAGGAGAAAGGGGTGTGGTTTTAAGAGCTGGAAGAAGTTATTTATCACTATGGTGTGTAACCGTGCCCGCTTACAAATTCAGAATAGTGGCTGTTATGAGCAAAGCCTTTCACCGAGTCATTAATATTTGACAGAAAACATGGCTTTTTTATCAGACGAACATTTTTACCATTTCTTTTCTCTGCACTGATGTGAACCTTGTGTTACGGTGCATTACAGGGTTTTGCTTTTATCTTGCTTGGCTATGTTACCGCATCAGCCACGCACCTCGATGTATCCAGCTCCTTCCCTCTTAGATCATGAATTGATAGTTTTTCCTCCTGTTAAAGGCAAAAAAAACCCCCACCTCCTCTACCATTTACCAATACATCTTAATTATTCCAAACAACTGTTTAAGTACTGTCAGTTAATCATTGCAGCATGTGATAATTTGTATATCGCGCTTCACATATGACGAACATGGCAGTTATACTGAAGACAGATGCAGCCGTGTGAATAACATTCCAAGGTCATGTTTTCTAATAGCTCATCTAATAACTCAATGAGAACTCATTTCTATTTGGATTAATACACTACATGCTATACGCACTCCACAAACACACTAAACCTATGCGCTATAATATAAACTGTATTAGAGCACTTCAGTTTGTCAACAAGACAAACAAAACAAATTGCATTCACCCGTGTCAGATTTACAAAGATCAGAGGGTTTCTTCCCATACCAGCCGAAGTCTGGAAGCTGCTCGGGCGCCAAGGCGCCTTAGTCCTCGCCAGCCTGTTCAATAGCATCATCAGAGACGGGACCGTCCCAGCAGCCTGGTCAACCAGCATAACGGTGCCCATCTGGAAAGGGAAAGGCGATGTGGCTGAATGCTCCAACTACCGCCCGATCCGACTCCTAAGCCATACCATGAAGGTTTTCGAACGGATCATCGACGCCAGGATGCGAGAAATTGTCAACTTAACGCCCAACCAATGTGGCTTTGTCAGGGGGCGTGGCACGACGGACGCCATCCATGCTGCCCGCCTGCTTTTGGAGAAGCACCGAGAGAAGTCCAAGACCATCCACATGGCCTTCCTTGACTTGGAAAAGGCGTTTGACCGTGTCCCACACGACCTCATCTGGCACTCCCTGCGATCACATGGAGTTCCTGAAGCCTACGTCAACTGGACAAAGCTCCTCTACCGACAAGTCACCAGCGTGGTCAGAAGCCCAGTGGGAACATCGCCGCCCTTTAACATCAATGTGGGCGTCCACCAAGGCTCGGCACTCTCCCCGCTGCTCTTCATCCTTTGCATGGACACTGCGACGGCGGATCTCCAGTCACCCCATCCCTGGACACTTCTCTACGCCGACGATGTCTTCCTGGCCGATGAATCGCGAATAGAACTGCAATACCAAACGCAGCAGTGGAAGACTCGCCTAGCTGACTTCGGCCTGAGGCTCAACACCAACAAGACCGAATACTTAGAGGCTGGCCCCCAGACCGACGGCACGATCAGCGTCGATGGAGAAAATCTGGCGAAAGTACCTCATTTCAAATACCTCGGATCGATGATCAGCAATGACGGCGATATCCTACTAGATGTACGAGCCAGGATCAACGCAGCGTGGATGAAATGGCGCCAAGTCACCGGCGTCCTGTGTGACCGAAGAATGCCCAATCGCCTCAAGTCAAAGATCTACAAGAGTGTAGTGCGCCCCGTCGCCCTCTATGGATCCGAGTGCTGGCCAGCCACCGCAAAGCACGAACAAGCCCTTCACACGATGGAAATGCGGATGCTGCGATGGTGCCTAGGCCTGACACGATGGGACCACATCATGAACACCGACGTTAGAAAGAGGATGGGAATCGCGCCAATCACTGATAAGATGCAAGAAGCGAGGCTGCGGTGGTACGGAGCGATGAGAACTCAGTGGTGAGAACAGCACTGCGGCTCAGCCCCCAAGGACGTCGACCTAGAGGCAGACCAAAGCGGAGATGGATGGACCGAATCAAGGACGACGTGAAGAAGATCGAAGCCGATCTGACCGACGCCCTTGACCGACCCAAGTGGAGACGACTTTGCAGAAAAGCGGACCCTGCAACCGAGCGGGAAAAACGCTAGGAGGAAGAAGAGGGTTTCTTCCCATTTCTAATGTCTGACACCGGTTCTAGCTTGACATAACAATAAAATAAACACACCCCGTTTGGCTGTGCATGCAATCTATGGATATTATTATGTGCAATGAAATGGAAGATTTAGAAAAATTGAAACATACTTTTCCTGTAACTAACTGGGGAAATTGATTAGGCATATTTAAATGAAAAGAGGTGCAGAATCTATTCTGCATAAGATCACATAACTGTAATCCTATATTCTACAGTGTAAGCTGTGTCATAATATATAACTATAGATGCATCTTCATCACATGTTTATTCCAAAAACTATGTATCTATACATTACCAAAGTACAATATCTATAATAGTATTATCCTTTATAATGTGTACATGTTGTCTTGATGCATGCTCAGGCATACAAGCAAAGAAATCCTAGATTCTGTTTATCTGTATGGAACATTTTCAGTGGGAGAAACATTGTATCACTCATCACAAAGAGTTCTATGGTTTTTTTTCCTACTGAAACTATCTGGATGTTTTCAGTTCGAGAAAAGTTTGGGGAGAAACTTCTACAACTTGCACTCCTGGTGCACTGTATGTAATGTTTCTCCCACTGAAAACATTATATACAAATAAACAGAATCAACTTTCTGGGATGTGATTTAAGATTCTTTACCTTACACTGAAAGCGATTGTAGGACTCTCTGACTGTAGCTGTTGTCTTTTATGTTATGCGTTTCCCTATATTTCATAGTTCCCAAAGAAGTGACCAGCACAAAACAGGAAATGATAGCCACAGTTATAGTTATGGCCACAAAGGCTGTATAGGGAAGAAGTCAGGGTGATGTGATCGTTGAGAAAACATTGTACTTTAATGCAGGAGAGTTAAAATGTCCAAATTCACTTACTGAAAAGATTCAAATGAAACAGACATCTTTTGCTCCTGGAAAAACTAATGCTCTATTCATACCTTTTGCAAGATTTGAGATCTGTATGATTCAAAGTCTGATGTCATCAAGTCTTCGGATGAACCGAGGTATAAATTTTACATGAATAGATACAATTGTTTTTATATATAAAACCACATAATTCAATTACCAGAGCACAAAAATATGATCTGATATGATGATAATGACAAAGGACTGGGAATTAAGGGATTTATATTACAATTGTATCTGTTTACTTCCCATTCACTAAAAAGTTTATATTATAAGGAAAATACTTGAAATACAGATTTGGAAACTGAAATTGGAAGTCTCCATTAAAAGCTCATTGCAAACGAGCTTGTGCCACCAGTGAATACACAGGTTAGAATAGCACACTTTAACTGATGAATGTGAACATAAGTCCTGCAAAGTTAAACTGTTATTATAAAGATAAACCAGACATATGCTTTAAATACACAGAGGCGAACGAAATGCTTCCTCACTGTGATTGGCTGCCTAGAAGACATGTAAGGACATTATTTCAAAAGAAATGTGGTTATTTCAATAGACCTTAAACCAACTTCTGGTTGGTTTGCTTCCAGAAAATGGCAATTATAACAATAACTGTTGCAATGTTAGAATAGAATAGCATTTTATTGTTATTATTCATGTACGACAAAATTGCAGGTGCTCTGCACCAACTGTGCATGGAATAAAAATCTAAATAGTAGGACGGCTGGAATAAATAACAGACAAGAGGAGTATATACAAAACAGGAAAAGGGCACATAATAGAAAGGCACACAATAGAGGACACAGTGCTTGTTATAGTCTTGTTGTTGAAATAAGACAAAGATGTTTGTTGCAAGTATGTAAACATTTAGTATTTTGTCTTTGTTGAAAGAAAAAACACAGATATGTTTAAAATGCCTTCAGCTTTAATTACATTAATATTTTAGCTGAGAGTACAGGTCTGTACCTACACATCCTATTTTAACACTTTCTACACCAGAGTATTGTTTTAAACTTTACAAGGGGCTCATGAATCAGTAATACATTCTCCCAGAATGACATACAGTACATGTTCATTGTTGTGGCTCAGTAGTGAACTGGACATCTGTAAGAATTACTGGATACACGAAGTACAAAGTACGATTAATAGATTTGTCCAAAATCTGAACATAGTAAACATGGTGCTAAGTTGGAGCTCATTTATGGTAACTATGGAGATAATCCTGTATGATTTCCTCTCAAACGTTTCTTTATTCTACTTTAACTAGTTGTCAAATATGGAAACATCCTAAATGTATGTCAAATAAATAAATATAATAATAACACATTGAAGAATAAATATTTATTGCCACCGAGCTGCTAGCCACCTAGAAAATGCTTTGGCAAACCTTGTTAAAAGTCATCTTTTAAACTGACAGAGCAACCAGAAGCCCCTTTTTACCACATCTAAAGTGTTACTAATGGTTGTGATATGATTCTCTGTATGCTCTATTTCAGCTCCGATACTTTTTCCACAAGTCCAGTGTTTTGTTTATGTATGTACCCGCTCACATTTGTGGCACAGTATGACGAGGTGTGAGAGCATTTTTTACTTGGTTCATCTGGCATTTCAAATTGCACACCGAGAAGAAAGCTTCCTCGGATTTCACTGACATATCCAAACTAAGGAACTTAAATGTGCCAAATGGATCGCACAGGATAAGTAAGTAAAGTCAGTTGCATTTTAAATATGAAAGATTTTTTTCATTACGTATTGTGAAATAACACACTGTTTGTTAATCAGATAGCTAAGCTTGTATCACTATACAATAATGAATCTTTTCTCTCATCTATAAGACAAAAATATATACTGATTACAGCAAATTAAAGTCTAATGCTCATATCTAGTCAGCAACAAGCTCACTGTAACTATGCTTTCAGCCTTTTATTTCCATCTATAATGCGCACAGGTGCAGCTTAATTCGATTGGAAGATGTTGCTCTGGTTATACACAAATAATTCACTTCCCTGTTACCAGCAAAGTCGTTGTCATGGAGATGATGAGGCTTATATAAGCTCAAATGTATTTTTGTTCAATACAAGTGTATTGTCTTTACTGTGCTCATTTCATTATGATTTGTTTATACCCACACATATAATGGCAAATTGATTCAACAGTCTCTGTCTTTTCCAGCCAGGCACAGCAATGCAAAGAGATACACTTAAAAATGAATGTTTTTTTCTCTTTTTTGTTCTTGTTGTTGTTTTTCTGGATGGCTAGTAAGGCGTAAGGGATCTGCTCTCAGTCAAAGCCATTTTATACCATCTGCAAAAGTTGATAACTGGCATTTTGTATTTTCCCTCAGTATCACTTTTATCTGCATCACTGTCTCACTCAGAGCTACAGCTTTGATATTAAAATCACAGACGTCTGGTTTTGTGAAAAAAACAATGAATGATTATAGTTCTTACCTTTCAGCCAACTATGCAACAGTGATGGAAAAAGATCTTCCAGTGGGAGGGGTGTCATTCACCTCACCTTTAACCTCGTGGCTGTGTATAGATCCAGCACCTACCAGCTTTCAGCAGAGGATTAAACAGCTAATGACAGAGAAGTGCTGTGATTGACAAGTTAAGGTTTCCTTCCTCGTCAGAAGGGCCTTTGTGTTTGTCTCTTGCCCATTTCTTCCCAGAACTCACATTTCACATTCCACCGTGACTTGAACAATTTCTAAATTTCTTCATTGTGAAATAGCTACAAGTGAATCTGAAGCTACTCTATTCACACCTTAAAAAAAGCCTTTACATTGAATTATGAATAAGTCTTATTTAAAGTCATCACACTGCTGTTTGTCTGCTTTGAACCAGGTTTTCTCACATTGCATGTCCACTGTTCATCAGTGCAGCAAACATCTACAGTCTACTGCAGTCATCGTCTCAGATGAGGGAATTTTCAGCCCCAGTGAAACATGTGGGAGTACGTATTTACTGTATATTTATTTTAAGCCTTTGACTGTATTTGAATTGAAAGAAGGGCTGTTGGTGGTGGGTATCAACACTTGTAAAACTAAAACAACTTCAGACAAAGGATTTTGAATAACCCTGTTTAGATATGATTTTGTCTGGAGAGCCCCTAGTACATTCAAAGCTAGCACTCCTGCTTCACTGGCATACATGTAGCGCTGTACGGACATTCTAAACATTTTGACAGCTAAGAAAAAACACAATGCAGGATGTGAAGGCAGGTCAAAAAATGAAGTGATCCTCCTACTAATGTTCCTGTCATATGTTCTAAAATGTATGGCGTGTAAGTTAGCGTTACATCAATAGAAACTGACAGAGAATAATAGCATGAAGAGCAAAGCTGGAAGGACTTGTCTGTCTGTCTCTCTCAGTCATCTGGACCAACCTGTCCACAATCACAGCCTCTTAGAAGATTTGCTACTGGTTGGGGAATTTGTAGCCGAGCGATGCGTCAGGGGTTGTCATATAAAATGTAAGTGCTTTCCCCCTGAGTAATTTAATCACAGACTTTTATGGAGGCATCAGGCAGCACATTGAAAGACAGAGTGAAAGATCTGTAATTGGCATTCTTTCATTCAAAGTAATATATGGAATATGTGGTATAATTACAGCTCCGGTAATGGTCTGAGGATGACTGAAATGCTAACGCGTAGCGATTGGTTTAATGTGTGTTCATCAGGGGGAATTTGCACCATATTGACTTGTGACTTTCCTTGGTGGTATTTCATTTGGACTAGTCAGACATTACGGTGTGGCTTTCCTAAACGCCCATCTACTCATCTCAGACTTTGGAACGGTGAAAAACTTTGGCTTCTTAATAAGTGAAACTTAGCAGAAATCTGAGTGAAAAATAATGTGAAAAAATGAGTAAGATGTGTGGGTGATGTCTGAGATTAACTCGACCATCAGCATAAAGCTCCTGAATAATCTGAAAACCCACTTATGCGACCGTGCTATTTGAATAGATACTTTCATTTCACCGTCTGCTTGACGCGAAATTTGATGACACCTTTTTTGTGGCAAAGTTTACGGCCAATATTTAAATTTGAGCATTTAAATGAACAAAGTACAAGACAACTGATTAATGGCTAGTATATATTTTAGGCAAGCCTCATATTTAAAAATAAAATACATTTTATGTTTCTCTGATAGCTTACATTAGACTTACATTTACAAAGTTCTTCATATCTATACAAATATATATTTTTTGATATTTATCTTTTCCGTTTTCTTCTTTTTAAAACGTAAAGCATAAGATTAAGCGCTTACCTATTTTTTTCTTAGTTAATTACAATAAACAAAATGTTACGAAACTTTATGTGTGTGGGATTACCTTCACTACACCACAGTAATGCCTTGTTTATGATAAACTGTAGATGAAACACTAACACATTGTGGCGACACAAAAATAATTATTTACTGGAAACCAGGCGGTTCCTTGATGGCTTGGGAGTTAACACACTGCATGGTACATGTTTACGGTACTTTGGGCCTTTCCATTCGCATCAGCCCTCTCATTTCTCTGTTTCTAAGCTAAACCAATCAGGTGGATCTGCTGCTCCACACAACCTCTGTACCGCACATGTGTGTGTTTGTGTGGGTGTGAGTGCGCGTGGCAATATAAAGCCAGTTAGTGGTGGTTTATAGATATAACGGTTTATAGGTTTATAGAACGTTTCCATAAAAAATTTTTTATTTGTGTCATGTAACATCATCTAAATGAGCTCCAGAACTGTCTTGCAAATATACAAGTAAGAAGAATGCATTTTGCCTCATAATTAGCAGTGTAATGTAACCTGAGGATGGTGTCACCCAAACATTCAGAAACATTAGGTGCAGTCACACTTTCCATCATCTCATTTATCAAGAAACAATACTGAAATAAGATCCAGGTTGCAGGAGAGAAAACGTGAATGAGACATGAGGGGAGAAAGGCACAGAGAGAGTGTTGGAAACAGAAGAGGACAATGTTCCACAATCCTCAGATAAACTCAATGTGACAAGATGGTTACTTTCTCCCTCTGCTGTGACAGTTAATTTTGGACTAGGAAAAATGTCAAAAATGTTTAGCTGCGCTTGAGCGGAGTTAATTACAGAGCCCAAGGCAACTCAAACTAGGGCTGCTAATGGCCCTGACTTACAGATAAAGCTCCATTAAACAAGACTATTTTTTTAGCCACTCATCTAATTTACTTAAAATCAAACATTTTGGCAGCAGCAATTAGATTGTCACTGTTTAGGTTCGAATTTTTAAGCTGCCATTAATCTGATTAATGCTTCATCTTGTTTGTAATCATTAAAAAAGACACACAAACCCTTTATCCTCTGGAAGTAGAGCATTGTGTACAATGTTATGTGACAGATGCATGAGAAACGAAACTACGTACGTGCAAAGATATATTCAATGCTAGTTTGACATTCATGCTCTAAACTGTCACCACTTGACATTTAGACCCTCTGACCACCTATTAAACAGTTGCTCTCGTGTTTCTGCCTTTCTCTCTATCTCTTTGTTTCTTTCCTTCCTTTGAGGTCAGCGAACCACAGTGTTAGTGTTTTCAAGCCGCTCTTACATATCTTTGTGGTTGCATCACTTCCTTCTCACAGGTCCCTTTCGGCACTGCTGCACTGACACGTGAAAGTCTATGAAACAGCAATCAAGACATCGGTAGCACAGAGGCCAGAGCCAAGTGAACCCAGTCCCAGAGATCGGGACCCAGAGATGGCCCGTGAAATGAGTTGGAGTTGGAAAACCACCGGAGGGATATGCCACGCTCTACTGCCAATTTCACTATCATAATCAGCCTCAGCTTATAGAGTGATATTATAAGCCTGGCTATTTTCGCTGACACTTTTGCTCCTTTTTTCTTTTTTTGGCGCAGATGATAAGGAAGATGATACGATTTATGCAGCGACTGAACTGTAGATTCTGCAATAAAAAAAAATAAAGAATGAAGCTGTTGATTCGAACTCACAAATATCTGCTACGAGCTTGATGCCTGGGTAATGAGTGATGGTGAAGAACTTCATTACATAAGCATATGTGTCTCAAGTAAAAGACTTGACAAAATAAGTTGTCATCAAACCATCAGCAGAGTCCTTCTAAAGTTTGAAAGGGCGCCCATTAACCAAGGCCAAATTGAATCCAGATGTTGTCAAGAAGGTTATCGCTCTAAAATAAATGTTGTCTCAGCATGTTGATATGCTTCTTATACTCCTATAAAATATAATTATGCAACCACAACAAAGCCACTCAAGTTAATGAACCAACAGAAGTCTTGGTCTTCCTGTGGATCTTTTTAATCGATGTGGTTGCTTTGCTAAAACCTCCACGTTTTCTGTCTCACTGGCCATATGTCAAAAAGGGAATCGAAAGCTTCAAAGAAGGTGACAGGGTTTTAGATTTCTGCAACAGTCTCTTTTTTTAAGTGGGGCTTATTATAAACCAAATCTGCACTTAAATGAATAAATCATAGCAGGTAAAGTACAGCTTATGATTTCTCACTTTGTTTTTATTGCTGTAGGATGAACTGTAGGATGAACTGATTTCTCAGAATTACCCGAAGCCATGCGGCTGACATATCAGAAAAACCCAAAACATCATCATGCAGTCCCTTTTATCTCAGGATCTGATTTATGTACACCACTACAGTAGCTAGTCACATGACACGTGGACTAGTGGCCTGATTTTTTTACTATACCCAAAAAGGAAATGGTGAACTTACGGAAATAATGAGATTCTTGAATCCACATCAGAATAAAGCACCCATTAACCTAAGGAGACATAGTAAGTAGTAACTAATTAGATTTTGGTTGGTGCTAATTGCGTCTTCTATTGGGCAGAAGGAGATTTATGGACATTAAGGAGGTCAACCTGATGAGTTTTGTTCTGATTTAACAGCGACTCATTATTAACTTGTTCCCAAGTTATTTATCATGATTTATTATTTACTAGAGATCTTTCTCCAACATTTGGTTTGTTAATTCTTTAATTCCTGAGGATTTTGCTTAGTTTGTATGAATACTTTGTCTTTGTTCTAGATGCAAAAAGCAAATAGGCATACGCCATCGACAACTTTGATTTCATTGAACTGACCTTTCAAAATGTAGGTCACTATGTTTATACCCTGTTCAGAGACCACTATGAGCAATTCTGTGATGGTGTTATTTTTGTGACTGTTATTGAGTTTCTTTATATGTATTTAATTTTCATATGCAACATGTTTCAAAACACATCTGGATGTATTTACATGAATGCATACCTGTTTGTAGAATGTTTATTTTTATCAGTTGTACTTTTAATTGTATGCTTTGTTTATGGGGAAGTTTTGCTGTTTAAAGAAATTTCAGATTTTAGATAATATACTGCACCCTTTCTTCCCTCTTTATTAACCAATTTGGTACCATTGGAGGTACTGTGAAGAACCAGTTATATATTTATATACTGGACTGCATATATATACTGGATTGCAACCTAAGTACCAACCCCATGATTCTTTAGCCTGTAGCATCTTTAGCTATGATAACTTTAAGTAATAATTTTTTGTATGACTTTACATGTCCCATTTCTTTGTGGAAGATTTTAGTCCATTCTGCTACACAGCGTTACTTTGGTTCATTGAATTTTGCAATCATTCATTTATACAGAGCTTTTTAAAGGTCCCCCCACAGCATTTCAGTTTGGTTAGGGTCTGAGCTTTGTTTCATTGCAACACCTTGATACTTTTTTATTCTGTTTTAGATCTGGTTGTTGTTGCACAAAACAATTTCAGCTAAACTTTAGCCGTCGGACAGATGGCCTGACATCTGACTATAGAATACTTTGGTATACAGAGAAGTTTATGGTCAACTCACTGCAATGTGGCTGCAAAATGAACCACAATCAACACCAATCCACCTCTGTGTTGCTGTGAGGTGTTTTTTTTATCTGATATGCTGGATTTGTTTTTTATCAAACGGGGCACTGTGAATTACCTCCAAACATCTCAGCTGTGGTCTCTTCTGTCTAAAGGACATTGTTCCAGATGTGTTGTAGTTTGTTCAGATTTAGCGTTGCAGACCGCAATGCTGCCATGTTTATTTTTAAGCAAAGAGGTTTTCTCCTGGCAATCCTTAAAAACAATCCATACCCATTTAGTCTTTTTTTCTAACTTCCTAACTTTGACCTTTAACATGCTAACTGAGGCCTGTGGAGTCTGAGATGTAGGCCTTGGATGTTTTGCAATTTCTTTGAGCATTGCATGGCCTGAACTTAGGGTGCATTTGATGTGATGTTCACTCCCAGGAAGACTGTGCTAATACACTCCTGAATACTCCTGACCAACAAAGTGCCAAAACATTTGCTTTTATAGAGGCGCTCACACTATACTGATGATCATTTAATCCTGTGTTTTCAATTAGCAGCATCTGGCTGCTACATACTCTTTTAATTCCTGTGGAAGTAGTAAGTGTGTACTTAGTTTTTTTTTACAAGAATTGCATAGAACCCTGTGAAAACTTTATTTTTCACATCACTAAAATTCTCCCAGACACTTTTTTGAAGTGTTTTTTTTTCTAAAGCTTCACTGTGAAGAACCACTTTCAGTTCCAGTTTGCACATTTGTTATGTATACAAAATGTCAGTCAGTTTGGCAGTGGTACTAGGTTCCAGATTTGAGTTTGGAGTTTTGGTGTTAGGTTGACACATTTGGAAGTTGTTTCTTTAGTAGCATTATTCCAAAATTTCTCTCACTATGACAGTATCTGCTGCACCATACACAGATCTTTTTTTTCCCCAACTTCAGTGCACTTCATTTATGAAAACTTTTAGGCTTTTAGAAAGATGAAAACATCCCGTAACATTTTACTGCAAATAATATTGTCACAGTACTTTATAATAAAAGTAAATCTCTAAAATCTTCTAAAGGTTAGTCAGTTCTGAAATTCCTAACACAGAAAAGGGTTTTAAGTGAACAGCATTATGCATTTAGAAAGAATATCTATGCTAGATCACCACTTGTCTGTTATATTGAATACTACAGTAGGAGACCTTTGAAAAATCTGCATATACATAAATAAGCTGTGTTCTTTAATACGTCTCTGTGTTAAGAATGTCCTTTCGTAATATAAATCTTCAACATATTGCATAGATCTCTCAGCCACAGCCAGTGGTCTTCATTCACTTTCAAACACATCTGCCTTTGGTATGAATATGGCTGTCAGTCCCATGAAGACCATCACAATAGAACACACTCATTATTGTTGTATTGCATTGTGCTTCAGCAGCAAGCGAATACCACCCTTGACTAATTTTCTGTTTGTATCAAGAAACAAAAGCTCTTCGAATCTCCCCATGGGCTCTGGAGTGGCTTTACTGCACATCAAACTATGCTAATTACCTTTTGCATGATTAATTGGACCAATTAGAATTAGTAGAGGAAGAAGATGATTCTTGGCAAGGTGCGAAACATTAATTAGTCATAAAAAACGTTTATTAGTGTTCAAATTTAATCTAGCAGAACACAATGGGATTAGGAGAAAAAGACAGTTAATAAGTAGCGTGTTCAATCACTCTTAGCTGCAGATGAAATAATGAATGTCACTGCTTACGCTGTGCTCGCTCAAACATGCACACACAGACAACCTCCGTCTCTTACCAAAGCTATTGTACTGTTGGAAAACACCCATCTTCATCCGTCATACAAAGTGGCAGTTGTAACACAAACATTCCCACTCTGATTGATGAGTCAAGACCATACAAGCGACTTATACACAGTAATCCTGTATAAGATTTATGGCCTGAAGATGATGCATTAGAAAAAAAAGAAAAAAGAAAAGAAATTTGCAATAAAAGAATCAACAACAGCACCAACAGTTGCAGCACCAGCAACTAATGGCGATTTAGCTGTGGCAGCATTTATAATGGTATATGGCATATGTAATAACAGCATTGCGTGACAGTACTTCACATGCTATGTAAACCATGGGAAATGACAGCTGCAGGGCAGTTGTTTATGCTGATGAGAAAACAAGCAGGTACGTTATGGGCAGTGAGGAGTGTGTGGGTGTTTCCTCACATTTTGCACACTGATGCAATAAAATAACACAGAGTGGCTTCACATCGAGCAACACCTTGGCCTGTAAAAAAATCTGCAGGCACGCATGTATAAATAGTTGTTCAGGGCTGATCACAGCACCATATCACTCTGTTGCAGATCAAGGTTTGCGACTATATTTTCGATGTAGCTCAAAAAATGCTTTTTAATCTCGTGTATGTTTTTCTTTCTAAACCCCCCCACCCCAATTCTTTCTCTCTCTCTGATTTAAGAGTTACGAGCTTGTTGCTCTGTTCCAGGGGAAACACCCCAATAAGCAAGCCCAATGAAAAACTGAGAGTTAGAGGCGAATTGTGAAACTTAGAAAAATCACACTTCAGTAAACACGGTATAACAGTTTCAGTATTGTGGATGTTTGGTGGCTTAAACCCAAATATATCAACAGGTTTGTTTTTTTTTGCCACTTTTCTACTATATGGCAGAGGAAATATTTTCCCACACTGACAGGTTTTGATGATATTTGGCTTGCAGATTTACAGTATGTAACGGAAAACCTGTGTGTGCAATGCTATATGTTTAAACATATTGCATCTGCAAAGGTTTTGCAAGTTACAGTAAATCTATACCTTGAAGCTTCCCTTCCACAAGAGCGCAGAAAGAACTGACATCTCCTAATTTTAAGTGTGAAGCAATTTGCCCCATCAAGCTCATTCAAAGATGAAGTTAATAATGCTGTTTAAAGTTCACTCAAATTTTCAGATAAAGTGAAAAACACAATTATTAGCATATCAGCACAGTTTCAGAGTAAGAGGGTGAGCATTCTTCAGACATCATGAAGCTGTCGTGAAGGTGGTTTTCTGTTCATATTTTATTACGTTATACTGTACTTTTTATATCAGTACACATCCAGGCATTAATTACTATTCAAGGCAAAGATTTTTGTGTGTTTTAATATGCATCTGTTCGTTTTTACTGATGCTTAACATAATGAAGTTAATATTCTGTTCAATCATCATTAGCGAGGGAGCGGCCTTATGTGTTTCCGTTATTTATTTCCGTTGTAGTACTGTATGAGGTTGTTGCAGCTAATGCAAGCTGGAGCCCATCCCAGCTGACTTTGGGCAGGGGAACACCCTGAACAGGTCAACTATCTGTCATTTGGTCTTGCCTTTCTTCAGTTAATGTTATAGAAGCATGAAATATGTTTAGTGCACGTACAGTTTATTCTCTGAATGGAAAAATCATATAGTACTCCTTACATTCCTGACTCATTTCTGCAAATTTATGGGTTTGTTTTTTCTAAATCACTGCGTAAAAAAAATAAACACTGGCATATGTGGACAACTATCTAATTGGGAGCCTTCAGCAAATTTTATCTAGATGATCAAATCATATTCAAACCAAGTATTGATTGTACAGAAATCTGATTTTCAATCTCCTCCTTTCTCTGTATTTTATGACTTATATGAAAGTCTTTTGAGCACAAGTGATGTAGAAGAGCAATAATGTCCAGCACTAATTTAATACCTTATTACCATAAGCCTGGTGCAATGCATGCATAATAAATTGTTGTATCTTTTACGCGGCTCAGGCATATGGTTGGGAGACCGGATTCTCTTCAAACTGCACCAAATTTGCATGATAGGATGTGAGAGTTGGATGGATTTGGGGATTATATGAAACACAGCTTCCATTTCCAGTTCATTGTACTAAGGAGAGGTATCACATTTACACAGATGGCAAAGAATTCAGAAATGCACAGCTTCTGTGAACCACAAAGTGTGCACTTCAAACTTCAAACGCAGAATCTATGGATTTTTTTTTGAACAGGAATATGTTCTCTATCATTTGTATTTTTTTAATGGGCTGCAACTTTATGAAGCTCAATTTATCTGATCAGTATTGTCAGCAGTCGTGACCAGAGATCACATTATATTGGAGGTTCTAGAGACCATTCTAGGACAATTGCAATGTTCATTATGATCAGGTCTTTCTAGGGGTTTGTCCAGACATAAAATTAAAACTAACTGGCAATATACTGACAGTTCTCATTCATATACTTGTACTACTGGCTAATAAGAGATAACTTAGTTAAAAAAACAAACACAAAAATGTGTTGTTACTTTATGGCCAACATCTTAAGAAGGAACGCTTTTCATTGTGGTCTGCACATGTCAATTGCCAGCAAGCAGGAGAAGAAAAAAACAAAACACAATAAGTTCACACACACTTCACAAAGATTTTATCACTGAACTTAAAGAGCGTGCTCTTTACTGTGCCCCAGATTTTAATTTCAAGTAAAAAAGACTCCCACAAATATGAAAGGCAACCACTCTCCCTCCTGCTGTCTTTCTGAATCTGGTTGTTCCTGACGCCCGATTTACGCTTCGACCACAAATACCAGTGGCCAGGTAATGCTGATTTGTAGTGACGTCAGGAACAGGGGAATAGCCGTGTTAATCAGCAGTCTTTTTTCCCGTGACACTAACTTGTCTCATTTTGCTCTAAAGGTCAGGCACACAGTAGAGGAACTAGCTGTGGTTCAATTTGGTATTTTGTTTTCCGCCAGTATTGTAATGCTTTTTTTCTCATGTCCGCTGGGCTGGAAATGGAGTGTCAGAGAAGATTGGGTTTTAATGTAACTATAGCGACTTAACTTAAGCTCATATAGCTCTAGATATAATTTGAAAATATTATTAGCAATCCAATAATTCCTGTCTTCCTTCTTCTTTGTTTCTAGAACAGAGGAGTTATTGCAGCCCACAGACAATGTCACATTAATTGGCACTTTAATAAAGGTCAGCCCGGTATAATACAACAATGTAATGATAGTTTGAATCCAAAGTTCATTTCACATTTTGGACTGTTAGCCTTAAAATGTTATTTTACAGAGCAGAGTCAATACAACAAAAATAATACCATCACTTTAAAACATCTCTTTTAAATCTTTATTTGAATTATTTGACTCAGTTCAAGCGCACATTTTATTCCATGTCCTGCACCTGAGTTTAGTCTTTAGATTTGGTAAAGTGCTGTCTTGTGATCTGGGATGATGTACTGCTAATAAATTTGGCAAACGGATCAAAAATCCCAACAAAGACAAGATAAAGTTCAGAAATATATATACAGAACCAGAGCAACTTGTTAAACAGAGGTTGTTAGTTAATGACATTAGTAAATTTGAATTATTCAAAGTGTTCACTTCAGTTTCCATATTGCTGTTTCATTTCAGTTCCCTTCTGCTTGCCATGTGCAACCGGGCAGTACACATCTCTCTTAAATTTACTGTCACTACTGCCCACACACATCTACCAAAATCAAAGAATTTCAAATTTTGCATAAGCTTTGTACAAAAAATGGTGTAGAACCCCTGAAAACTAAAGAACTGTGGCTGTTTTTAAATCACATCAAGCAAATCTGAGTATTAAAACCACATTTCTATATTCAAGGGCTGATTTTCTCTTCCTTTCTTTTACCACGGAGACTGAACATGCAAGTATTGTGTGCACCAGCTGAGAGTGCCTCTTTCTCTATCTGTGTCACTTTGTTTCATGTTTTATAATTATATACTGCAAGGTCAATCTAAAGCACAAAGCTCTCTAAAATTAGCTTGTTTGTGAGTCATCTTTGAAACCATCCCATAAAGGTTGCATGATTCTCAAAGGATGTAGCTGCAATCAAGGCCTGTTGGCTATGGTGGAGGACTTAAACCACAGAGACCCAAGTGCTGTCTTGTTCTTTCACATGCTTTCAGTCAAACCTCACCAGGTTGTGTTTTCAGTGAAATGGTGATTTGTAATGAAGGTTTGTTAGTCAGAGACCTAATATAACCATCATCCTTTGGTACTTTTTTATGTCTACTAAATCATAGATAAACACAAATAAATATCCCTTTTAACATGGCATCCCTCTTTGCATGGCATTATTATTGTATCACACGGCTGGTGGTCTTGACTAAAATATCTTCACAACTATTCAGTGGTTTGCTTTGACATTTATACGCATGCTTGGTCTTGCAGGCGATGACTTTTAATACCTTTTGCTCTGACTTTTCGTCTTATGCCACAATGACATTTGTGGTTTTGAGTGTCATTACAGAGTAACAAGACCGTTGGACTGATTACCATGAAATTTCATGTGTATCCCTTAAAGTCAAATTGCAATCAAAATATGATGATTCTTTAATTATTAACATTTGGCAATTATTGCAGCAAAAATGTCAATTCTCCATTGTTTTGGTTAAAAGACATGCAATACGTTACTAGCATAACTGGGCTGCGTTTCTGTACTAACATGGCTGACTACCACCCAAGCATGCTAGCAATGCGCATTGCACTGCACGTCTTAGCACGTCTTTAGCATGGAGTACTACACACTAACCACCATTGGTCTATATTTTTCTGATTTTTATGGTTGCTTATTTCTTTTACCCGTATGTAGCTTACAGAAACATTACTAAGTTCAGCAAAGTCTAACCACTATTGTGATATGATTCATATTTAAATCTGCTAAGCAATCTTGCTGGATTTGTATGGTGTTATCAAAATGGTTTCAAAATGACTCATAAAAGTCTCACCTGTTTTTTTTTTCCATCAACATTACAGTTGTGTGTAACGTCTACAGACTCATCACAAAGGTCTCTTTTTAAATTTTGCTATCAGAATGTTTTACATTAACACAGTGACCAATAACACAGCATAATTCAATATGGGTAAAAATGTATGTATTATGTTTTGCTTTTGATTTGTGTATTTCTGCTTTGCTTTGTTTGTATTGTAATCATGGACTGCGGCTTTCATTACTGGCCCATATCTACTTTCTCAACACTGACAAATCTCCTTTTGACAGAAAATACTGGAAACAAAAGAAAGAATGTCAACACTTTTCTAGCAACTTACGATGATACAGTATCAGACATGTATTTTCATGATACAAACACAAGCAACCTTGTTAATATAAATAAGGCTCTGTTTGTGCAGCTTTATTCTTTGGTGCAAAACCGTGCTATTACTTTGCTTGCTTGTTTGTTTTTCATAATGTAGCACATGTTTCTTCAGATATTTTACAGTATTACTCTCAATTGCTGCAGTTTTATCTGTGCACCTTGCCTTTGATTTTGCTAAAAATGAACACCCTGACTGCATAAATGTAGTCGCTATGTATTATTCATTTCTGCCTCTTCCATTTGAACTTACAGTTGGCCAGAGTTGTAAGCTATACGCTGGATGAGAACATGCTGCACTCATGCTGTTACTGCATGCTTTATGTTTTCATTTCCATGCTGTTTGCGCTTTATGTTTTGTAGGCTTTATTTGACTTTGAAGCAAACAATTAAAACTTCACAACACAGATTAATTGGATTCCTTTGTATTAAAAAGAGCGAGCCGTAACATATACTAAACATAAAAAAGGATTAAAAAGGATCATTCTACTAAAAAGAGGCCACATCAGGTAAATCAAAAGCCCTACAGTACATGGCATGCATCTTCCCTGCTGCAGCTTGATTGGTAGGTATTCACTTGCCCTCATATATTTACAAAGTAACATTGTGAAATGCAGCTCAGTGGCCTCCAAGCCTGTCATGGAGGAAGTCATTTTTCTGCGGCACCATTGCCTTCAGATGTGGTCAAACTGCATGGTCTCCTGATGCAAAAAAAAGAACAGACATTTTCAGAAAATGAAGTGTTTTGAGAGAAATGAGTGAGGGAGGGAGAGTCCCTTAATGGAGACAAGTAATGTAAACTCACAGAGAGAAAGCAGAGTGGGAGACAAGAACCAGTTTCACAAAGTTTGAAGTTTCCATCAGGAGGGACCACCAAATGCAGACTTGACAGACGATCAGTCAAAGAGCTTGTACATTTACAGCGCATGACAGTATGCAAAGGCTTTTTTTTTACTCACTCTATCACTCATATACCCGATATGTCTTCATTTGTTTTAACAGCAAGCTTCATGAACAATCTGATTGAGAGAATGCCAGGTATTTTTAAGTCCTAAAGAGCAGCCTCTTAACTAATAATGAGAGTGAGAAATGCAGTGCATTTAAGTGAAAACCTCAATTAATTATGTATGATTAGAAGACTCTTAAAAGCTTTGGGCAGAGAAAAGAAAGAAAGTACATAAACAGAACACGAAGTCCAGAATGGCTGGATGGATACCAGATGTGAAATTGTAAATGAACCTTAAGTATACAGGTGACTGCAGAATGATGAGAGATATTGCTTCTGCGTGGCTGGACACTGAACTGTGCACAGGTTATGCTACCTCAGTACCAAGGTAGTAAGGACACAAAAACTGGATTGCAATTTTTGAGTCAGTGTTTGTGTTTTATATTTCGAGTTTACTATACAAGTTGTTTTTCCCTAAAATCAATATTTTATTTGAGCATTTCAAATTAATTACTTTGTGCATTTTTGTGACAATTCTGAAATGATCCTTGTTCTGATAACGCAACTACATGTAAGACATGACATTATACATATTCTCCTGTTGATATCTATTAAAAGTGCATCAGTGTAACTGCACTGTTTTATGCTGTCTTGGAGGCTACATGCATGTCTAATCAGCGAATGACTCACTGAGACGAGGTCATTTGGAAATATCATTTCATCTGAAAATACATTCAGACATGTAGGTCATACTATACACTCCAGATAACTTCTGCAAGCCTGTCTTGCTCCTCTTTCCTTCCTCTTAGTCTCTTTTTCATTTCCCCCTCTATTTCTCCCTGTCAGCAGCATCATGCATGTTTTCACCTCTAAAGTGATTGTACCTGATTTATATGACAGGCCTTTAACCCTGCGTGTTCTTGTCCATCAGCATCAGGCAGAAAAACACCCAAGGGCATGTGTGAGTAGGACCAAATCTGGTTCTCTGCCATTCAGTACCTGTAACCTCCAACTAGAATGAACTCCAACAAATCGCATTTATTCCTCCCCGGTTAGGAGATGTGAATCAATGACACAAGGTGGGAAGTGGTGCTGAAAGTATGTATCCAAAAATATATTTCTTTCTTGTGCCAATAATCTCTTTGAGTTATGCATTTTTGTCCGTATGCATTTTGGTTATGTAAATGAATAGGATACTAACTGACAGTGACTGTCAGCATTTGAATCCGAATCTTCACCAGAAATAAGGAGCGCAAAAATGGTTGGAAACTAATTTACAGAATCTATTAGGTGAAAGAGTTGAAAGAGAACACCTTCATGCAGGATGACATGAATTTCTAAAACATTGTAGTGAAACCAGAGACTGAAAGGAGCCCAGCAAAACGGAACATTGTCTCCACCTGCAGTACAATGATGGAAACAAAAGTCAATGGGTTGGTGGAGTAATAGCCCCACTTGCTGACCACGAATAGGAACAGACAGTGTGGGCAGGGAAATTAACTGGGAAATGATTGCCTGCAGTTTTGCTACATTTAATGGCCAAGATAATTATCGTCAGCAAATATTCATAACAGCTTAAGCACCGTATCTACCAAGAAAGTGGTTTATTAAGGTCTACAGGAGTTTTATTAACAAAATAACTGCTAAGCATATTTCCATAAAATAATATTTAATGGCCTCATTATTAGTTAGCAAAAGAAATCATCATTACCCATTGCTCATAGCCCATTGCTTTTACAATCTGAGTAAAATAAACAAATACTTATGTAAATGTTTGTTAGCTAAAGCTCTAGTAGTTATGTAATGTATCCTTTTTGTTTAACCATAGTTTTACCTCCGGTAAGGAAGCTGGCTTAGTTTGTGTGTGTGTCATTCTCTCTGTAACTATAAAGCCTTATAACTATGATTTTTTGGAAGTGTGGTGTGCATTGCCCACATACAGAACTCATAAGCTGTATTAACATTTGACCTCTGTCCTTCCCTTCAAGATTAATTGATTGATCTGAAAGTGATAAAACTATGTTTCTTACTGCTATTGACTGTATTGACCACATAGGTAATGATATTTGGAGATTCTAAATATTGCATTACTAATCACATTGCTTTCTGTGCATAGTTAGTTAAAAATATACTGTAGTAGCTTTTGCAATCAGAATTACGATTATGAGAATTGCGAGTGCATTCAGATCAGAATTCTGTTTGCTAACGCTGCCAGACAAGACAAGATAAAAAAAAATTTTTTTTCAAAAGCTGAAAATATTTGTATCCAGTTATTTACAAATCAATACCACCTGCTCCTACATAATGTTTGTGTAATCAAAGTACACATATGTCATGCTACCCTTATCTGATTTTTACTGCACTATAGACTTCTTCGAGTACGTTTAAAAAGAACAAAAAATTTTTTTTTAATGAATATATACAAAATACAACACTTTTCTCTAACAGTTAAATACTGGCCAGAGTGAGCTGAGGTGAGTTTTGCGCTCTTGAAGTGCTTATTAATAGTTTCAGTATTTTGGTATTTAAAATATAAAGCTGTTTATAGTAAGTATTAATAAATTCAGTCGCAAGACGTTTGTATGCAAAGTATACGTTCTAATAGTGATAATAGTTTCTTTGGTTTAGATGAGGAGTAAATAGCGTGTATATGTGTGGAAAAAAATACATACACGTTTTTCTGTAGCCTCGGGAAACATTTTTCTTGCAACGATTTCGAAGTAGAAGTCTTGGTGCTCCGTAGTCACGTGACTCCTCTGTTTACAGACATCCGGAGAAACATGGAGGACAGCACTGGCAGTAATCCCCAGTCTCCCGGATTCACAGAGAAACTGAAGTCTTGGCTCTCTTGGTCATGGACTTATGTGTGCTTCCTTTGGTTCGGGATGGTGCTGATAATGATATACGTCCTGTGGAGTCCGCTGAAACTTCAGGAAACTCTTACCTCAGGTGAATTAAGGCAGATGCTAGCTAGCTATTGTTAGCCTACGGGTGTATAGCTTTAGCGAAAGCAGTGGTTTGACAGCTCGCTGTCTGAGTTATCGAGACACGAACAGTGGCGACTGTCTGGTTAAAAGTAAAGCTTCTATTTAGATATTAATTGGCAGACACATTTTGCATTTTCTCCTACCGTAGATCACACTGAATGCAGTCGAAATTAAGTAGTTGATGATTTGTGTTACCAAGTTTGCTACTGTGAGCTAAATGTCACCTGGTAAAGACCATCGAAGTTGAATATTTTCAAGGTTTTTATTAAAACTACTGTTGGGCGTAAGTGTCTCCTTTATTTTCTTCTTTCAGCTTCAGTGTTTTTAAACACACTGACACCCAAATTTTACGTGGCTCTCACTGGAACCTCCTCTCTTATCTCTGGACTCATCCTTGTGAGTTAATTTCTTTATCACCATAAATTACGTTTTAACCGTAACACATTTTAATACATTCAGTTGTAACGTAGGTTTTGGTTTAGAGTGCATTATGCTATATGACGCAGATAGCAATAATTCTTTTCAGATGTTTAAAAAAAAAAAAAAAAATTAATATACTATATACCTTACATTATTTATTTTAATATTATATAAAGAGTAGTTATTATGTAATTATGAATAATTTTTTGAGTATTCCCTTCTTGAAACATTATAAGAATGAGAATATAAAATTTTTCATTCCTTCTTATGTTCAGAAGGAACCAAAAAAATTCATCATAAACCTTTAATTATTATTATTATTATTATTTTTAGCTTTTTAAGTTTTTTAGCTCTTCATCACTCTCAATTTAAAGATTCATTTAGCACAAAATCAGCAACAAATACCAATACAAATGTTCAGGCTGTATAATGACACATATTAATAAAAGCATATTAACCGTTTATGTTTTTATTACAGATATTTGAATGGTGGTATTTTCGTAAATATGGGACTTCGTTTATTGAACAAGTATCGGTGAGCCACCTGCGTCCTTTGCTTGGTGGAGTGGAAAGCAGCTCCACAACTGGTCTGTTCTCATCAGTTAATGGAGATGCAGAGCCTAGGCCCAGTGTTTCAGGTAAAAAAAAAATACATGATGCAGCCGATCATAGCATTATTATTCATATTTATGTAAACAGTAACAACAACCTCTGTTTGTAGAATGCAAGGTCTGGCGAAATCCTTTGAATCTTTTTAGAGGAGCTGAATATAACAGGTATGTGTTTGTTTAAGATTTTATTCAGATAATTATGTTGTTCAAACACATTTAAATTTCATAAAGGTTAAGTGTGTAAAATCTCACCACTTGATGTCAGTAGATTGCAGATTGCAGTCAGCTTAATTGATGGAGCAGTGGTGGAGGAGGAGAAAAATATACAAATATTAAATGGACATTTATAGTTTGAAAGAGCTATTTGTGATTTTTAGATCAAAAGAATGTTATAAGATATACTACACTATCTTGATACTGGCCAATCTTTGGCTAAATATATAAAACTTATCAGGAACAATGGCAATGTCCATGTTAGCCACTGTATTCAAGACAAGGAGGCAACATGGCGGCTTTCACGAACCAGTGCCTGCTGCTATGTATATGAACATTATTTTTTTTCTGTTAAATAACCTTTTAAAATGAGTAATTCATAATATCAGAATTTTTCTAAAGATTTGTAACGATTTAAACCTACTTTTTGTCTTTAGTGCAGAAGTATTATTTTTTTCATTTGATTCACTGAACCATAAAATGGAAGCTATTATTTTTACTCTGTGTACCACAGGTACACCTGGGTGACTGGGAAGGAACCCTTAACATATTATGATATGAACCTATCTGCTCAAGATCATCAGACCTTCTTCACAGGAGAAACTCAGCAGTTAAGGCCAGAGGATGCTGGTGAGTTATACAAAGATGAGGCAAATTGCTCAAATCTATGCAATCAATGCATACATGCAATACGTGCCAGAAATTCCTTTTTTTATGATGTGAAGCACTACGGGTTTGTATACCAATACCATAAACTCACATCTATATTGCAGTAAGCCTAGATGATCATCTTCTTACAGTGATGCAGAAGGCCTGGAGAGAGAGAAATCCTCAAGCCAGGATCAGAGCAGCTTATCAGGCCATAGAGATCAACCACCAGTGAGTTCTACTCGTACACAGTGAACCTCTCCATACATATTTCTAGACGCCTTGCACCTCAAGATGCTCAGTGTTAGGCTTCATTAAAGTGAGACTGTATTACAGTTATATTGCCATCACATTAATGAGAAAAAGAGGTTGAGGTTGGTGCTGCTGTTTAGAATCTTAGATTTAGAGAACTTAGAGTTTAGAGTACAAGTAAATTCAGACAGCTTTGTATGGTACTTGTAATAATTAAATAATCTTTGAAGAGTCTTTATTGTGCTGACTTTTGTTTAAATGCATTAATATATTTCAATGATAATGTTTATATACAGTATATTAGCGTCTTTAAGGGTGCTACCATTCTCAAGTTTTGTCTTTGTTATGACATCATCTCTTATTTTTTATTTGTGAGTAAATATAAATATTTTCTTGTGCACTATAAAAAACAGCTTGGATTGCTATTTATAAATACATTAATTTCTTGTGTACATTTGTGTAGATGTGCTGCAGCCTATGTGCTTCTAGCAGAGGAAGAAGCAACAACTATCACAGAAGCCGAACGCCTTTTTAAAAAAGCTCTAAGTATTGGTAAGGATGGTTTTTAATGCACTACAATAACGTACTCTAGGGCATAGTAGTACAAAGAAAGCTCAGTAGATGAAGAGTAACTCAACACTGTATATTTATCCTGCTTGTGCTGCATGCCCTTACCCACATTGTGCAGTTTAGTACTTCAGTGTGGACCTCTCAATATGCCACAGATAGATATAATACAGCAAAGTGTATTATTTGTTTTACACTCCCTCTCATGATGGAAGAATTACAGCTCCAAGATAACATGAGTGCTCTACATTGGACCACAAAATGTAGCGTGATATTCATATACAATACAGTTTAATTTGTTTTGTTTTTTAAACTCATGGTTGTTTTGCTTTGCAGTAAAATATTTTCTCTTTGCAATACAGCAGGAAAAGATATCAACCTACTAGTATATATTAAACGCAGATTGGCAATGTGTGCACGCAAGTTGGGGCGAATTAAAGAAGCAGTAAAAATGATGAGAGATGTGAGTATCACCTTTAAACATGTTTACTGCTTTATTGTTTTGTCACAGAAAGTATGTTACTAAGTCGACATGTTTACTGTGCCTAAAACTGTGAACCTTAATATGTTTTATCTCTGTACAGTTAATGAAGGAGTTCCCATTGTTGGGAATGTTAAATATACACGAAAACCTCCTTGAGGCTCTTCTAGAGCTTCAGGCATATGCTGATGTGCAAGCAGTCCTTGCAAAATATGACGGTAAGACTAAACTCAACAAATATTTAATTACTTTTGAATATCAACATACCATGATTTTGCACAAAGTAGGTCAGTCATTTGAGTTGCATGCCCAGTCACATAAACACAACTTCTGCTTCTACTTTAGATATCAGTTTGCCAAAATCAGCTACTATATGCTATACATCTGCGCTGCTGAAAGCACGGGCTGTCTCAGATAAGTAAGTTATTTTTTCTGTTAGCTTCAGTTGTTGTATGTGATTGCCCTAACTTTGTCACGAATGTGAGATGTGATTTCTTAGGTTTTCACCAGAGGCAGCATCCAGGCGGGGGCTAAGCACAGCAGAGATGAATGCTGTGGAGGCCATACACAGAGCCGTTGAGTTCAATCCCCACGTGCCAAAGGTCAGTCATTTATCTGACAGCAAACATAGGTCTTCATCCTGAATGAAAACATACATTAGTGACCAGATGATCTTTAAACCAGGCTGTCAAACACAAAGCCCGGGGCCAGAATTGCCCCACCAGAGACTCCATTCCAACCCACTGGACGGCTTTGGAAAATCTGAAGGAGGGCATAGATTTTGCATTTTTAACTGTTTTGGGGTTTATTTGCATTTGTTTTACATTTCCGGCTTTTATTGGATAGTTTAGACAGGACAGGAATTTGGGTAGAAAGAGAGGGGGAAGACACTCAGCAAAGGGTCGCAGGTACGACTCAAACCTGGGCCGCTGCCGTGCGGCATGTGGTCGCCTGCTCACCTACTGAGATAAAGTGGTGCCCACTTTTTACTGTATTTTCATTGGTTTTACAGCTTTTCTACTGGTAAAGATCGCCACCCTAATTAGATAAACAATAACACCGAAAACAAAACATTTCTTGTATGTTTTTTTTTTTCCTCAACTCTCTTTCACTATCTACTATGGAACTTTCTTTGGATCGGGTTGAGGGGGGTATGTTAAATATTGTAATTTTAGACATTTTTGGTGCTGATAGAGTTCTCTGTACTACAGCAACATTTCTTATCATATATAAAAACTGAGATGTACTGTTAAAATAATAATAAGCGTCTTTACACTGAGAAAACATTTGTTTTTGAACAAACGGTCTTGTATCATTGTAACACTGTCAGTTCACGCCCTTCATCCGTGTGCCACAAGTGGTTTGGTGGATTGTTTTTTTTTTTCTTCTTTTTTTATTGGATGGATAGTTCTGTTTATCCATCATGTTTTACTGGACACAACATCATTTGGAATTGGAAGTATGAGTATGAAGTAAGAGGTGATGAAAGTCAAAAGTCACTCTAACCTCACAAAAAATGTTTTTTGGTCACTTTCTATTGCAAAATTTCACCATTGCCTTATATAGATGAAAATGATGAAAAACTGGAATTTAAGAGGCAAAAGGTCAAAGGACAGCTTCACTGTGGCACCTTAATATTTTGAAAAAACAGCTTTTTCAGCTAATGAACTAAAGAGGAAATTCTGACCAGATTTCACAATTGAATGGATACTCAGTTTGTGATACTAGTGTTTGTTGCCCAGATATTAAATTATTTCAGAGTCTTGAGTTCATATATTACATGAGTCTGCACAGACATGGACGTAAACTGCAACTTTACCTGTAAGGGGAGGCATACAAACAAAAGGCAGAAATTTAGCTTGACGTTACTTTCAATTTCACTGCCTCTATCTGGTCTAATCACGCAATACTCACATGGCTGCCACTCGTAAAGGTCCCATTCAGGGCAAACAGGAAAAGCAGACAGTAAAGTAAACAGTCAGTCAATCACAAGTGAGTTATTTTGACTGTAATAGGTGGTGCAACTACAGCAGCTTTCATTCCATTCGTTCTGTGCTGCTGGCTCACCAGGAGATGTCAGTAAAGGTTATTTTCTCACTGGTAGTGTCATCTCTAGATCGTGGATTTTATCCACATTTAAAATTCTTCTACAGTATGCATATTCACTTTGATTGTTATTATATTAATATTTATATATCTTTATTATTGTTGTAGTTATTATACAACGTATACAAATTTGATCAGCATATTTCATTTTCTTAAGTCAGAACACTATTTTTGGTATCAAGTCTATATTGTTTTTACCAGTGTTTTAGTGCACTGAATATTTTTTAACTTGGTGATCAGTTGGTCATATTATCACAGCTCTGTCTACAGCTGGACCAGGAGAATATGGGACTCTAGCTGCATATCTCTTTTCACATCAGTTCCCACAGGTTTAGATGTCACACGTCCATATGCGCACAGATTGATACACAACCAGATGCAGCAGAGTTTTGTCCCAGTTCAGCCTTTGTAGTGTGGTGTTATTTCATTTCACAGACTCCTATTCTGAGAGAGAGAAAGAGAAGCTGTGTGTTTGCATGCATGGAGGGGGAAACATCAGCCAGCACTTTGATCCAGCCTTTGATTTTAAAGTGAGGGCCCTCATCTTCAATATCTCTCCAACTGCTCCCTTCCCATTCTGCCCAGAGGCAGCCGTCCTCTTTCCTCTCATCACATACCCTCATCCTGTTTCTTATCCTCTCATGTTCCCTTATCCCCTCATCCCTTGTTTGAGCCAAACAGACAGTCTGAATGTCACACTGCCAACTTTGTCAAAATGACTTCTTTGAATTTAGGTGAATGGCTAAATGACATTATGAAATTTTAACACACCTTTCATGGAGGATTATTGGACAGCTCGTCTTTCAGCATTTGACTGTGGAATCTGGTGCATACTCAGTGCTCTCATAGCAGAGCACTGGGTATGGAAATGCAACAGTGGGGAAGGAGGGGGTGTTGCTTTGTGTTGTCTGGCATGTCTAAGAGATGAGTGCACCTGCGACTCCTTTGGCCTCTTTAAATGGGCGGGCTTGTTGTCACCAAAAGCAGATTTGGTGCATGAGGCTTAAAAAAAAAAGAACATCTGAGTTTAGTTTCCTCAGCTGTAGGACTACTGTTGCTTTGGCAAAGTTTCTAATACAAGAACTATACAGGCCAGATCACACCATCGTGTTTCCATCAGCTGATGAAAATTTCAGAACTGTTTCAAAGACAAAGTCTCAAAACAATCAACATCTGCCCATTTGAACTGAAAGTGGTTTTATGGTTATCAGAGTCATTCCTCTTTTTTTTATAGTAATTGGTTTCAGTACAGATTTAATGTTTTTTTAATGATCTTTCCACATTACATCTAATGTTTTAGTCCTACCAAAGCATCTACACATTTCAGATAAACTTCAGACAACATTAAACGCACTAAAAAAAGAAGCAATAAACTAAAGCATGTACGTGAGACCACAGAAGATGCATTATCGTTGGCTTGATAAGAGAAGGGGAGTATGTTTTTGTTACTGTAAAGACTCCAGAACAGATAGTATTGCACTCAACCGGTGCAAGCAGAGTAGAGGGGCTTTGGCTGTTGTTATCCAAAGTTTAGAGAAATCATTGGGCAAAAGAATAAGTAACCAATTTCTTCCTACATAAGAAAAAAAAAATCTAACAGCAACACCTGAGGTGAGCACAGGATACATCATAAGCCCCCAGCAGCTGAATGATGTGTTAAACCTCAAGTAGTAGCAACAAACCAAACTAATTCATAGTTTACAGTCATGCTTGTGACTTTGTGAGGCTACAATTGATTAAGGGTGCTAGCCATAAATTCTTTTTTCCAGAGCACTGGAAAACAATTAATGGCAGCAGGTGAAGAATTAAGTAAGTATAGTATAACAACTTGTGCTTTGAGGACTTAAAATATATTTGTGTAGGTCTTGATATAGCATACTTTAGTATTTCTCACTGCAGCCAAAAGATCATCATCCTAGGTTGATAGATGAGATCACCACCATTGCAGTCCTTTGGATTTTCAAGCTACTTCTCAAAAACAAATGTAATAAACATTGAACTACTGGCACTCCTCGAAGAAGTCAAAGTCAGCAGAATTTATTCTCTGTATAATGAGAAGATGTGCCAAACGTTATGATCATGCTTTCATTTCTGTCCAAACTGACTTTAGTCAGACTGTCGTTACCATCCGTACAGTCAAACAATAAAAACAGTGCAGTAGCCTGTGGTACACACACAGATTTGGAATACTGAAGGAGCATTGTTGGGCCAAGCATTAAGTGGCGAGTGTGTTATCAAGCATGCCAAGCAGATTATATATGAATATAATACCAGGCTACATCACATGAGTTCATTCAGACTGCTTAAAAGGCTATGCACACACAAAAATCTACATATACAGACACACACACACTTCATTTGCACAGCTGGTTCAGTGCTCTCGCTCAGCCCCTTCTCCTCACCAGCTCTTCATCCATCTAATTTCCTCCTCTTCTCTTTTGCTCACTTCTATTTTCTTCTCCTCCTCATCTTCTTGTCCTCTTCTATTTATCCTCCACTCATTTCTACATCTGCCTGTCCATTCCAGTTATCCTCTCTAGCAGCCAGTGGTTAAGAAACTGACAGTTTCCCAGATGCTTGGATAACTGATCAAATGTCCCTGCTTGCTAAATCTGCTTTACATTTATTTTTACTACCATTTTTGCTAACATGCATTCAATCTGAAGCGCTCAAAGCGACCCAGGCCTATTTACTTTGCTAGTTTACCCCACTTTAAATGGCAGTTTTTTATCTCACCCAATTCTCAATGACATTCTCTCCTCTAGATTGCCTGTCAAGGCTCAGAAAACCAGAGTTTTTTTCTTAGTGTATCACTGAAATTGGCTTTTTGGTTTGTAAATTGAGACGGAATAGGAGCATTTGAGTTTGTTCTGAATTAAGATGGACGAGGTTTCATCCAGATGACAAAAATGGGGTAGTTACAGGAATTGGACTGTGGCTTAAGTTTCGCCCACTTGGGGACAAATATAAGTTCCCTTACCTGTGGCACAAGATGAAGTAGCTAGTGTCAATGTTTGTTAAAATTATATATTTTACATTTTTTTAAAAACTTTAAACTTTTCTTTGTGTTTTTCCATTGTTCATATGTTTGGCCAAAAATTATAAACAACTACAGGGTTGATGGCAATGTTGCCTCTGTGCTTCATTGTGTGCGGCAAAGTGCCGCAGATTAGAATCAAAAGGAAGCTTATGAGTTATGCTCTGAGCTTATGACTGCCCAGGGATGAAAGGAGAACACATGAAATTCAATCCCTTCATCAAAGAGGCGACAGGGAGTGCAGAGGAAGGCTGCAGAACAGGGAGGTGGGGGTGTGACTGAGGTGTCACCAGTTCTAATGCCATGGCATGCAAGGAAGGACAGCTGAGCAGCCAGCCACTCTAAATGGTTAGTCTTAAAACATAGAAACACCCAGACATATGTGTGCCATGTACTTTCCACTCATTATTAACAACAGAGATAAAAATCCATGCAAAAATATTCAGGTTTTACTAAAAAATATGTATAGATACAGTGGTGCTTGAAAGTTTGTGAATCTTTTAGAATTGTCCTAATTTCTGAATGAATATTGACCAAAATATCATCACATTTTCTCGGAATACCTAAAAGTACTTGCGGTTAACCCAGTTAAAAAATTAGACAGAAATATTTACAAGGAACAGGATCGTTAAAAGTTTGTGAATCTTTACTATAGCAACATTACGAGGTACTGTGGGATGTTGGTGGTGTTTCTTACATGCACTGCTTGCTTTAGATCCTTCCATCCCGATTATTAGTCAGGATTTTGACTTAACTCTTCTAAAACCCCACCTTTGTTCTTCTTTACTGTTCTTTTGTAGAAGAACATCTATGCTTATGTCATTGTATTGCTGCATGAGCTGCTTTTCCTTAAAAGTTCACCTTTAGGATTATTGATGCCACCTACACCTAAAGAAAATTGAATGCCTGTCCTCAATTAATACATTTTAAGTATAATATCCCTGTATATTTTATAGTGTTCTTAGTGTCTGATTTTTTTATAAAATCAGCTGATGTTTTAAGCTCAAATATATTGAAATACAGGAAATAATAATAATCGAAAAAACAACCTGTTTTACTGAATGAACGACTTGGCTTTCTTGCTGATAAATGGTCTGAATTAAAGCTTGCTTCCATACTCACTAAGTTCTTTCTTCTATTTTATGCTATCCTTTGTTGTGTTACATAAAATTAATGTGAATTATTATAGCAGTTAGGGAGGTTTTATAATCCACCACAATAAACCAGTGATAGGTTTCGTCTGTGGTGGTCAAGCTGGCTAGCTGCCTCTCCTCTGAGAGGGAATAGAGCATGGTGAAATGTTTGTGCTGAGAATAAAGGAAGGAAGAAGATGAAGACAGTCAAGTGCCTTGGCTGAACCGAGTAGAGCTGATGTAAGTAAGTCAGACAGGATAAGTGAGAAGGGCAAACAAGCACCTTCTGGTTGTCTCTTGGCTGCCGATTGCTGTTACAGAAAATGTCAGGATGGATGGAGAAAAACTGCAAGACAGTACAGTCCACTAAAATCCTGTGAAATACAGATGATTACTTAAGTGTTGCTTTATGATGGTAACCTGCTTAATTGAGCCTTTATCCGTGAAGCTGAGAGGTATGAGAGATGAGAAGGACAGAGGTAACATAGGTGTAAATTTGCAAGTTTTTTTGTACAGCTATGTATAGGTGTCTAAAAATAACATGTGATGAAAAATGTAAGAATCTACATGTCAACTGAGAAAGAGAGAAAATGATGTGCAGCTACAGGCAGTAGGAAAAATGGGTGACACAGGTAGCAGTTATAGGGCCTTGAACATATGTAAAGACAAATTGGAGAAAGACAATGATGAGCCTTGGTAGTAAGTGATTATGGGGATGGGGGTAGGGGACAGGGTCAGGGATGGTGAAGCTGCATGGTCTGACTGGCTAGATGGATGGATGGATGACTGAACCTGTGACCATGGAAGGGATTAGACAGGATTAGCTGTGGGGTAACCTTCCCAAAGTGTCAGTTTGAGATCCAAAGCACTGCAAAGCTGGCCGCTCGGGAATCCAGCCCAGGGGGCCCCAGCACTGCACTTGGATGTTGTTTAAAACAGACCCCTGCCACACTGGGCACCACAGACATGAAATGCATAGATTGTCACATTCATCGGCGTCAATAGGTATACATTAAGGACTTCTATGCTGACGGATATAGACCTTTAAAAACATTTATTACCCCCCGCCCCCCCAGAAAAAGCTCTGCACAATATATTGATGTATGTACTCTAAAAGCTCGATTTCTTCTATTTCAGAGTGAGAGAGAGGAAGTTCTATAGGTTGTAACTCTGGGATTTGTCAGCTCAGTGAACCAACTGACTCACTGGGACAAACTTATGCAGTAGGCCAAGAGAATAGAAGCAAGTTGGGCATGTTACACATTCATGGAATGATGTTACTGTACTGTAACAATAACACACATACACTGACTCACGTATATAGAGAGAGTGAGACCTTTGGAAAACTTTTCCCTTCCACCTTGAACAATTGCAAAATGAGGTTCTAGATAAATACCTCACATGTACAGAATATGATTACATTCCACAGGGAGTTAGCCTGGGGGATTTGCACAATAGAGCAAAAAGTACTCATTGAGAAATGACGAGAAAATATGAATGACAACATTGAAGCTGCATGAAGTTATTTGGGACCACAAGGAATCTTTTTTTTTTTTTAAACCCAAACACTCATCAGTGTTTGTGGGCACTGGATAAGATTTTGTTTACTTTAATTTTCCTGGTTTCTGTTTCCAGTAGTTGTACTTTTGAGCAGACTTTGGTTGCGTGTTGTTAACAGTCCATTTGTCCAAATGCAATCTCAGAACCATCAGCTTACATCTAAGGTGCGTCATAAATCTGCTGTGTCTGCTGTCATAGACATGTGTGCCGGCTGCATCGAAAGTCCCAAAATGTTGTCCAATGTCCACAGTGCCTTCCTCAGACAACACCCAGACTGTGATTCAGTAAGGCAGTTGTCTGCTGATTTGTCAAATTGTCATTCAATTTCAGGTCATTATCTTACCATCTATCAGAATAGAAATTGTTTTAACTGCTTTATTATTCTTGCTCTTATTCAAAAATATACTGAAAGAAGTCGGTAACTGAACAAATTCAGGATGTTTTTTTGCTCAGAATGGTCTTTTATGAGCGTGACTATGTGCAGTTAGTTCCCATAGAAGAAAAGAAGTGTCAGTCTTACATTGTGGATCAGAAATCTATGCAATTTTTTGTCATTTAAAGCTATTTGAAAAACACGTTTTCATTCGTTATGCCTGAGTAAATCCTAATGTAAAAAAAAGGTGGAAATCTGAATCACTGACTAAACATAATGTGCAATGTGCTCGTTTGAGTTCATGTTGTTTGTGCAACTGATCACAGTATGACAATAAATTTAAACTAAACAGTACAGCTGAGTGAAGGATGAGAAATGAAGATATAAAGGTACCAAAAAGACCAGATACTGAACAGAAGTCCTGTATTTTTTCCACTTCCTATTTGTAGTACTTATTAGAGATGAAGAGCTTGATCCTGCCTCCAGAGCACATCTTGAAGAGGGGTGACAGTGAGGCAGTAGCATATGCTTTCTTCCATCTGCAGCACTGGAAGAGGGCAGAAGGAGCCTTAAACCTACTACACTGCACCTGGGAGGGCAGTATGTACCTTTCTTTTTATGGTTATTTTTTCAGATATAAATGTTTTAGGTTCTCATTTGCTTTCTTTCATGTTAGTAAGCTGTCACCCAACCTAGCCTGTACTTTGAAAACACTATACTAGAAACGCTACTTCTCTTTTTGGTTTTGAACCTACAGCCTTGCAGGTGTACAGCTTTACTAGTCAGCTGCCCTGTCTTTTTTTTTTTTTATCATTGTGTCATAAGTCATGTATTCACAGTACACCCACAAATACGCATTGCTATAAGTGGATGAGATCATCACAAGAAGAATATTATTGTTATATTTTATCCGGATGTCAGTATCTTGTATCCAACTTAAATGGTTTACCGAAAATTGCTCCGTATTTGTGTTTTAAATAGCTGCACTTAAGCATAGTTTGTGGTGTGTTATTCATCCAGATTTAATGTCCTGCTTTTCCCCTTCGACTGTATTCTGCAGCTTTCCGAATAATTCCCTACCCACTGGAGAAGGGTCACCTCTTTTACCCGTACCCAGGATGCACAGAAACAGCAGATAGGGAACTACTGCCCTGTAAGTACATTAAATCTACTCAAAACCTCGTCTCTTTAAAACAAAAGTTCATCTGCCCTGCTTGTGATACTGTTTCTCTTTTTGACTCGATTTTCTCCAGCTTTCCACGAGGTGTCTGTGTACCCAAAGAAAGAGCTTCCCTTCTTCATCCTCTTCACAGCAGGCCTTTGCTCTTTCACTGCCATGCTGGCCATGCTCACACATCAGTTTCCTGAACTAATGGGTGTCTTTGCCAAAGCAGTAAGTGGTATTGCTTGACTTCCCAGTTTCATCTCAAACACGTTTGGTTTGAATTTATAGATTTCTTATCACTGAAATTTTTAATGTTATCATGAGTTTGACTCAGATTTCAGGGTTATTGGCTGACCAGTTTTAGCTTTGACCATTGGGTCTCATTTTTTAATGGGTGTTATTGGTAACCCGAACCTCTAAGTTCCTTTGGTAATTGCTGCCTTCTATCACTGTCAGCAACACTGGAGGCTCATGGGAGTCGAAGGCTTGTAAAGTCAGTGTTTATGATAACAAGTTACAGTCTAACTTTAGCTATCAGTGGGAAGAGCTGAAAAATACAAGTTTAAAGCCACAGCAAACATGCAGCCTTAAAGGTTAGAACGTATGGATGCTTGCACTGCTTCATTTTGTGTTTGTGTATTATAGAAGTGTTGTGTTATGTGTTTTAGCCAGTTTGGCAAACTTCTTACTTTGGCTAATCTTTTGTTTATGGTCAGCCTGTTTATTAGGGCCTTTTAGTCTTGAAGCGTGTCTCTGAGAACATCTAGTTCTGTTCCTTTTGTTATGGGAAAGATTGGGTGCAGATTGGACTTTTACAGCCAGTCCGGCTAGTCTGGTTTGTGTAATGTTCAGATGTTCAGATAGAGTGCATGAAAACCAATGAGAGAGGAACACAGAGGTACTCACTGCCTTCTGAGGAAAAATGAATCTGCTGCTCTTAAAAGCAGGAAAACGCGGCGGATTTTGGTGGTCGTGACAGTCCGCGTGTTTTTCTTACCTGTGGATCGCCACTTTTACTAATTGGATTTTAAGTGTATCAAACACACTTTTAGCACGACCTCATATTGTAATATTTCAGAGGACATCTAACTATTATTATTAGCTAGCATTTAAATTGCATCATAACGTAATTCTTTGTGGCATAGATTCAACAAGGTGCCTGAAACATTCCTCAGAGATTGTGGTCCGTGATGAGATGATAAGATCTCACAGTTTTTGCAGATTTGTTGGCTGCACATTCGTGATCTGATTCTCAGCTACATCCCAAAGGTGCTCTACTGGACTGAGATCCGGTGACTGTAGAGGCTATTTTAGTACTGAGACCTCATTGTGATATTAAAGTTTGACATGATTTGAGTTTTGTGAAATAGCACATTAAGCTGCTGGAAGCAGCCATCGGAAGATGGATAACCTGTGGTCATAAAGAGATGGACGTGGTCAGTGTACATTTAGTAGCCCTGGTTCGAATCCACCCTGAGCCATTTAATGCATACCTTCCCTCTGTTCTCTCTCCTCAGCTTTCTGTCTTCTCACTACTGTCCTATAACAATAAAGGTTCAAAGCTGCCACCAAAAAATATACTTAAAAGAGGTTATTATTTCTGCAGTCTTATCTCTATATTATAATAAATTCTGATTGTAGCTTTTTATTATCGTTTGCCTTTTGTTGTTATTGCTCAAATCATACTATCAAAGGTTATTAAGAATCTTTTATTTACTTTTTATGGGTAAGTCTGCAGCTTTTCCCAGCGGCAATAAATACTGTAGTTTATTTACTTTTTTCATTTTTTCACTTGAAGATGGTGAAGCTGTAAGAGTGACTGTTGTTGATACTGCTGTCCGAAAGTGTCTCTCATAAATCATGGATAACATAAAGTTTATAGAGAGACTGCTTAAATGTAGTGATCCATCTGTGATCTTTCCACGAATGCAGTTTGTAAAATGATCAATCTTGGATGATGCTGCTTTCTTGAGGAAATGTACAAATATGTTCCGCCTTTGACTCTGACTGCACCAAACTGTAAGCTGTGCTTTGCATTTGCAGCGCTGAATGACTTCAGCTTGATTTATAGGGAGAAAAAAAAGCTAAGCAGTCAACTGTACATCCCAGCATATAAAAGTCAGGCTTGTGGAGAATTCTTATATAATTTTCTTTTCTTTTCTTTTTATGTTAGGTTGCCATTTTAAAAGGGGTGAGCTAGAGGACAGTAGTTTCTATTTACTTTATTTAAATCTGTGTACTTTTCTCACTGTGTGTAACAGCAGTACTTTGTAATCTTTTCTAAATGAATGTAACTCAAAGTATATATAAAAAAACACATAATACATTTTTTTTTTAAGTTTTGAAGTCCAATGTTAAATGGAATTCAAAAAGATATGTTATGAAGTAGTAATATTAATTTGAAATGGAAGAAATTTCACAAACCGTTGACCGGAAGTCAATTCTGCCTTTTCTTACTTTCAGTTCTTCAGCACACTCTTTGCACCCCTGGGTTTCTTCGCAGACAAGATGGAAAGCTTCATGCCGTCCAGTTTTTGGCACCAGCTGACTCGGATCTGACCCCGTCTAACACAGACACAATGCATACACACACACACACACACACACACACACACACACACACACACACACACACACACCAAACCCTTGAACAAAAAGTGTTTTCTCTCCTGTCTTCAGCATTACTGCCCACTTGCTGCATTGTTACTGATTACCGTATGTTGGCTGAAGTTGTATCAACACAGTAATACTACTTCTAAGATGCTCTCCCACACTCTTCCAATAGTCAGTTTTTCCAAGAACACATTTGGTGAATACCATTTGCAACAGTTTCATAGGGTCATTCACTTTTGTTAGAATGGGGAAATCCAGCATTTTTCAATAATCCAGAATGCCTCGGTGAGAGGAGCTCCTGAGTAAATTCAGATTAAAAAAAAGAAAAATTAAAATTTGGTTTTGCCTGTGTATGGAAGAAAAAATGTGTACATAAAGGGTCTCCTGCCCATTTGCAAACAAAACATATTCTTTTTCTTTGTGTAATCAAAAAGATGCCATTCAGTGGGCTATATCGACCCTCACACACATCTAGCAGGGCAGATTTAAACGTCTGAGGCCTCCTAAAACAGAGGCAGGATTTATAACCTCAGAGGGACTGCAGTGTATACAATGCCTGTGCAGTTCAACTATTGTCGCTAAGGCTGAATATCTCAGCACTACATCTCTGGGGTAACCACTGCATCATCAAAATGTAAATAGGATCATCAGCGGTCAGCAATCATACTTAAAATCACACAGCATAGGCAATTTAACATCTTCAATAACAAAAATTAAAACAATTCTAAATTCTGTGTAAGGTCAACTTGGGGCAATAACCCTCACGATCTATCATTAGGCAAACATGTCAAGTTGGTCACTTCAACTGCCTGCTGATATGCATTTAGAGTGGGCAGAATTTCCTTTTCCTTACTTTACTAACATTTTGATGACTGTCTGAATTGGTATAATTAAGCTAATGTTTTCTTCTGTGAAAGGTTGTTTTTTTGTATTAAATTAAATATGCTCTATTAGAGCTATACATTGAAAGATCTTATTGAAACATAACAACAGGAAACAAATGTACCTGTTTTTAATTCATAGAAAACTTATACAGGTAATATAGAAAGTTTTAAAAACCACAAATTTACTTAAATAATTTTCTTAAATCTCAGGTATCAGTTTTTTCTCAGATATCCTGACATCACGGTGACAGCTTTCCACCTTACGTGAAAGAAAATGTTATAATAATTTTAAAAAGTGCCTTTTAGATCATTACATAGCTAAACTACTGTGTAGTGATTAAAAGCCTGTTTGGTATTTATTACACCTGCAGTATGATAGACTCAGTTTGGGAAAAAATGCTTAAAGGGTCATTTTTATAGAAATGTTATATGGAATCAGTATAACAATGAAAAACAAAAGCAAAAAAAGGGCATGCTGGTTATTATGCAAGGGAACACACAAACACATCATTCAGACCTACTCCAAACTCTGACTACTTAGACTGCATTCTGTGTTTTACCTTGATCTTAAGTATTTGTCTATTTAAATGTGTGACACACAAAGGATCTTTAGTGTGCAGCTGAAATTTAACAGTATGCTGAAGACAGGAGGATCTGTGAACAACTGTAACTACGCGTGGATGAGTTTGAAAGCAAAACAAAATAAATTAGTCTTTCATTGACCTTTCTGTGCTTTTGTCATATTTCTGATTTGAGTTTGTTGCAAAAGGCCCCAGATTTACCCTGTTCAAGGCAAAGTTGTGTTTCCTATAAGCAAGCTTTATTTTTTGATGATTTGTTGAAAACGGCTTACAGAGGCACGGCCAATGGCTTAGCTGATAAAATGAGACATAAATGCGGTCCTTTGCACAGCTGATGTCATTTTCCTCCATCTTTTTAAATCTCTAGTGTCTTATTGAAAGACACTTACTCTGGCATCCAGCTACTGCTATATTTAGCCAAGAGCCATTTTGCGCAGCATTATGATTATACTACTCTGCCACCATCAGCAGATGCTTTAATGTGGCATGTTCCTGCTGAACCTTTGATGCCATAATCATACTCCATACACTCGCGCTTAAGTGGTGTGCAGCAGTAATGAATAAGTCTGCTGAGGACTGTTGACTGGACCTCAAGTGTTTGCTCAGAGTGCCAGAGCGTGGTTTCATGCTGCATGTCGAAACTTGAATTGCTCACGGACCTTCGTGGCAGAGCCATTCAAGGTCAAGATGACAGGAAAAATATGTAAGAAAGAAAAAAGGAAAATGCATTTGTGTTGAAACATTTACATTTATGACCACAGTCGGTACGGTTAGTACAAAATTAAAAACTTGAATGAGGGGGGGTAAATCCATGTGGAAAACTGTTTAATGAATACATTTATGGTGGTGATGCATGACCTTAGTGCATACCTTAAACAGTTGACCCACTAAATAAGAGTTTTTAATACCCCACTATCAATCTAGTAAGGTCACCGGCATGATAAATGAACAAACTCTTGTGGAGTGGGATCTGTGCCAAGTCCAAGCATGTCCCTGAAGGCTGCATACAGTATGTGTTGGACTGAAGACTCTTGAAAATCTGCTTCTGGGAGTGAAAGAACATACTGCTCACAACAGTTTATGTGTTTTGTCTGTCCATGGGTCTGTTCCACTGTGTTCACATCGACCCTTTCCAAAAAAGCACCAAGTGAAATGTGGTTTTGTAACTTATAAATTCTGACATTATGAGGTGTTATGCATATTTCATCATGACCACCCAGTGCGTTTATATAAGCAACATGGCACAGCGCTAACAGTTCTATTGGTCCAATATTCTAACGTGTCCATTGCATTTGACATAACCTGTCACTCACGTGTGATAGACTATAACTGATTACAGTATATACTTCATCTTTCACACTTCACACTGGTTTGCTCTGCTGAAAACAACTGCGATCTAGATTTTTATTACATGATTTGACTGTTAGCTCAATCTATCTGATCCTATGTTGCCGCAGTAACTGATATTTATCAGTTTCATCGACTGGCCTTAGTCCTGGCGTTCCATATCAGAATTCAGTTAAAACTGGAAGGGATGTTTCCTGAGGACTTCTTCAGCCAAGGTAAGTGCACTGCTGTGTTTCCTAACATACGTATCTTTCAAAATTTCACTTGGACGAATAGCATGTAATCCCGTTCCTTCTTTACCCTTCGGGTTATGTCTCTTTGATTGGCAAAATAAGTAACTACTGACTGTTTTCATGTGTATTGCTATGGTTATTTGCTTAAGAGTAGCGCAGCTTTTTTGCTGTTTGCTAATTATTGGTTGCTGGCGATGCTGAAATTGACATGGCAATGCATGCTGAGGTCTAAAGATAACACTTAAATCAGACTAGTTTAATGTTATTTGCTTTACAAGAGTAAACTTGTCTTATTGCAAACCTGGTTTTGTCACACATATTGAATGTGAATGTCCTCACCCTAAATCTTTACTGCTGCTTATACTCCTCCTGCACCTCCTCAACAATTTATCCATGGCCTGCAGTGTATGATTGGGATGTAAGATGACATTGTTTGCACTGTTTGCATCGTGAATGCTGATTCAGGTTAATGGTGGATTTACTTGTTCCAAAAGATAAATTGTATTTTGTGAGGGAAAAAGTGTCACAGCAGCTATAAAATATTCACAGGCTCTTCCTGCTGCAGTAACAGCTGCTGCCCAACTCAAGTTTTCTTGAAAATGGCACTAAAATCTGAAATGTTTGGTTTTTTGCTTGTTACTATAGATTTGGTGGTGAAGTAGATACTTGAAATAAGGCTAAGTGTTTTAAAGAGTCTGTTCCTTGGCCTTTACATGCATACATTTTGATTTATATCTAAATTTTACTCCTTTTACCAGTAACAAATCTGTAAGATATCACTTGGCAAGTAATAAACTATAGCAGCTACAGTCGAGTCCAATTTCATGTCCACATAAAACCCTTAATTACTCCTGATGGGGTCATAAGGGTGATCTTCTTTTCCAAGAACAACACTGAAACTGTTGGGACATTTCATTTAAAAAATAATTTTCATTTCCAAAGCGCTCTACAGTGCAACGGTTTCAGCATGCATGCGTATCAGCATGTTTCTCATATTACTATAGGCAAGTCACAGATGTATATGTGATCGGAGTGCAACGACTTAGACTGGAGTACTTGTCAAGCAAGGCTAAAATAAACATGTTTGGTTTAAAAGTGGCATAGCAATAAATTGTTCTTGAGTCATTACAGTTTGTGAGTACGGATTATGGAATTTCTTTCTTCTGCTTCCCATGAATGTGAAGCATCCATGTGGACCACACTGTCCCCTGAGACCATTTTAGCTCTGAAATGTTGTTAAACCATTTGATATCACTGCGATGGCAGTGAATGCCTGCAATGCCACTCCTTTTATTTTTACAGACTTCAACTGGGTGACCCACACTGGAGGACAAAGTAGCACAGATACTATGACTAATTTGAAGATCAACAATATATTAATAGAAATTTCTTTGTTTATACAGCTTAATAGTTGGTCGATCAAGAAATTACTAAATAAATTGTTATATTTCAAATTAAAGATATTTTGTGATTCTTTTTCTCACGCTATCTAAGACTACCATCAGTCTTGTTATGCTAATAAAAAAATATTTGTCTAACACTGAACAATAAACTTTAAAAAAAAACAAACAAACTGGTCATTTGCATTGTTTTTATCCCGTCCATGCCATAGCTAAGGTAATGATAACTGTAATAGGAGACCAGGGGAATACCTAAAACCCAAATATATACATGTGGGTTATAGGCCCTTAGGCTTAATTGAGAATATTATTATTACTGTTTCTCTGCCTGGAATTAAAAAAAAAGAAAAAGAAAAACATCTGGAAGTTGACATCTTTTAATAGTAGACCGAACAGAACCAAATGAACTCATAATTATGACACTGGCGCTCCATAAATCCAAATCAGTGAAACTCCTGTGGTTACAGATGTAGGATTGAATATAGCATGTTAAAACTTATAAAGAACTTGGGAATTAAAAGTATGAACAGAACAGCACAGGTCCAGGCCTGAGCCCACAATCTGAAACAGTTTTCCTCTTATCTTTCAAAAACAGCTAAATTACTCTTCATTTACATTCAAAACTGGCTTTTTCTGTTTTTTTTCTTGCTTGCAATTAACTTTTGACTTGGTGTCATTTGCTGTTGTCCAAAGCACTTTATTTTGGCTGTGCCTCTCATTACGTGGAGTTGAAACAATTTGTTGACTCTTAGCATTTCACAGCTTGTTGTCAGATTCATTTAGATCTATAAACTCCTCTGAGGGTTGTGTCTCCAATGGCTTAACACTATGTCTGGCTGCATTGCCAGATGTTAGAAAGCCAAATGCAAGGTCTGTAGCTACTTCAGTGCTCTTTTTGCAATGGCTTGGCTTTGTTTCATGAAATAATTCACTTCTTAAAAACCGGCCAGAGCCAGTGAGTGTGTCCACAAAGAACTGAAAGCACAGTTGCATAAGATTGCATTATAAATATGTTCTGTCACAATATGATGGCTGAACAAATATGCTGTTTTGGCCTTTGTAATAAGGATAAGGCAAATGTTAAACAAAAGCTCTATTTAAGATAAATCAGTCTGGAAACTAATATTGAGTTTTGAAAATATTTGCAGCTCCAGTGACATATCAGGAGGGCCGGTTTAATAGTTTGTATTCATTATAATGCAGTTGTATGACACTGCAATTTACAATTTTGGAGGGTCACTACGTCCAAAATAAAGAAGCTTTGTATTTCTCTTTTTACTGTGCACTTGTCTGCATTAGCATGGCCTATGGAATTTGTTTAAAGTTCACAGTAATAATGGAAGCAAAAACAAAGAACCGGAGGTAGAAATTACTTTTTTTTTCCATGAAGCTGAATGATTTGTTAGATCTGTTACAGTCAAATATTAGCATACTGTACAAGTATCTTTCAAACAACAGACCAAATTTTGTGAGGCTATTTTGTTGCGTTGGTGTGTCCTTTTTCTTTCAATGCACCTAAATCTACCACAACCCTTGTACACAAAGTGAGCTGTCACTGTAAATGATAAGTCTTTGCTTGCTCTTCTATTTGTGGCTCCTTTGACCTTACAATGTGATTACCTGGCTTTAATTAAGAAAGACCTCTTGGAAAGCACTATATTTATTTAGTTTGATAGCTGCACAAATTAGCAGCAGTGGTTTCAGGTGCACGGTGGGATCAAAAAAGTGTTGGAAGTTTTGGAAAAGCAAAAACCACAGGCTAACACCAGTCTCCAAGTAATCATGTGCAGAGGTCTGCTGTAACATCTGGACCACTCACCCTACCCATTAGATTTGGTTCTAAACAACTTGGATCTTTTTTCATAAAATTAAGTAAAAAATTTAAAGGTCACTGTTTTGCCACTGTGGAGTGTGAGTGCACTAAAAGGGAGTGTTCTAATAGAATGGGAATCAGTCCAGAGGTGTACAAGGCAACCTTGAAGGAGCGATCGGCAGACAAAGTACTACTGTGATTATCTCTTTCATCTCTTATGTGCACACAGTTTTTACATACTATAAAACAAGAAGCAGGCAGTAGCTCATATATCTGCCTCAACCAAGGGTACATTTACAACAGAATATAATATTAAGCCATTTTGCATCAAAGTTTCAAAGTCTGATTCAAAAACGCTCCGCACATTAGTTTTTAAAACACTTTTTAAAGCAGCACATGATCAGTAACTGGTTCTAATTTCCAGTTTACTATCACCTAACAAATGTTTGTGAAGTATAAAAGCATCAAAAGCCAGAGGTATTATAGTTAAAAGATCCCAACTAGAATGGAGTCATTAGTGCACAGGCTAATGAGTCAGGTGCACGTTTGATTTGTCCGCTCTCCTTCCTAGGTTACGTCCAGCCAGTCGGGTCGCTTGTGGGGTTTGCAGGTGTGAACGTCCACTACGTTTTCACAGTCTTTGCACTCCACAGCGCAGCACCACTTGAACTTGCACTCACACTTAGTGACACGTTTGACTCGCATGGTGTCGTAGCCACGCCCACAGCACATGACTTCACAGCCATCTATGCCTCTTGAGGACTTGTTGCACACTCTGCCTGCTGTGCCCAAGGAGCCTATAATGAGAATAAAGGACCAGAGATGTTGTTTTGGCATACAAAGAATATTGGTACTGCAACTGACAGGAAAAGGGTTAGTTTATTAGAAGACAGCCATCTGTGCATGCCCTGCCAGACTATTAAAATAAATAGTTATCACTATAAGAAATACAGGTTAGGATGAAAGAAATCAAATGTTTGTTATACGTATGATACTTTTGTTTACATATATTAAACAGCTAATATAAAATTTAACTTAACACAAGCAGTGGATTTCATGACACTTCTGTAATATGTTAAAGTTTTAAAGGTCAGGGACTCTTTTATTTTTTGTTTTAGAAAAAACAATTGATTTGGACTGATAATATGCAGCAGATTCAATTAGATTTAAGGGAACAGAAATACCTGCTGCTGACAGAAATGATGCTGATCAACATGAAACAAAGATGTGTCCTGTAGAGCTGCAGAGAGGGGTGATACCTCTGTGTGCTTTCATTATTAAATCACTGATAAGTACAGCTCCTTGATTAGAAGTTGCTTCTTATTTTAAAGTAGGCATAATATAGAACTTTAATTGTGCACATCCAGTAACTATACTGGGTTTCCCGTCTATGCATTCCCTTGGGGAACTGAACGATTTATACCACAAATAAATAGTCTGACTGACCGCTCAAATGTCTTTCCACCATAAGCTACATTCACCTTTTCGCATGTATCCATAGAGCACTTTTTTCAATATACCTAAGTGTTTTATCTCCTGTGCGTTCACACCTAAAACCCATTTAGAATCCCAATTTAACCTAAGAGGCATGTCTCAGTGCTCAGAAGGAAGCTGGGGTAGACACAGATCCACTGCACTGTGCCATCCAACTCAGCTTACCGGTAATAGCATTTTGAAAATTTTCCATGATTACGTGGATGCCCAGGAGTGAAAGCTGGCAGAAGTTATTATTGGCAATGTTCATGTTGATGCTGAAAACTGAAACTGTTTTGCCAAAGCAAAATATCACTTTCCCTCACTCTTCAGCAGGCTATAAGCTTCCCAACAGAATAGTCTCAGACCTAAATGCAATTGTGTTCATGTACTCAGGTGTAAAATCCAAGCCTAAGATCAGGTGCCAGGTCCATTAACAAAGCATCCCAGAAGTAGAGAGAACAAAGGATAAGAGGAGATCTTCCCCTCAGGCTCTAGGGAGTGGAGCTTAATGCTGACCAAAGGAAAGATTTGAAAAATAAGCCTGCATGTATCCTTAGGCTGTGAATTCCTATACAATGAAGATTAGTGGTGAAGAGGGTCATCGGCTACTTTTTAAGATCACCTTTTAACAAGGAAAGGCAGCTTTTCCTTTGAGCAAACACACCTTCTTTGCATCTCAGTTGTCAAAGTGCGGCCAAGCTAACCGCAGGTAGGAGTGACAGAATCTGTTAAGTTAGAACCAACGTGTCCCCTGCACATGCCATCGTCCCTAACATATTAACAGTGAGTTAGCAAAGTTCTTCACGCTCTACTGAAGGAGCTGGACTTTAGGAAAGAGATGAGCCTAACAAGGCAAAGCAAACATTAGGTATTAAAGGAGATGTTAAAGGTCAAATCACTGAACTTTAAGCTGTGAAGGAATGCAAGCCTGCAGTCAATGAGTCTCTGATTCTCATAGATTTTGTTAAGCAGTCGGTCCTATTTGCCCCATCCCATAACAACATACTCATGATTTTAAATTAAATAATAATAACAGTATTTTACACAAAAATGATTAAACTGTTTAAGCACAACTTCAAAAGGACTTCACTGAATCTCAGAATGTGAGTTGCTGATGTTTTCCACAAACACAACATATCAATATGCTACTCCTCAGAAGTTAAAAGGACCCTCCTTAAGGCAATTTCTTTACTGTAATAATAAATGATTGTCATAATAATATTACTCTTGTGTAACAGTGGCACTTTACTAAAGTTTGACATGTTAAAAACAGAATTAGCAGGTTAGCACAAGCAAGTTATTTAAGAATTATCAGCATTGGCCAATAATAATAATAAAAACCCTTCTTTTAAACTTCACTAGTCTCACTAGTGGCACATATCACCTGCCTAAACGTTGTTTTCCCAAAGACAGTGGCCTCCTTCAGCAGGACAGTGTTTCCCACTACACTACAAAAGCTGCTGGTGTTGGAAAAAAGCTCAGGGTGTTGACCAGGCCTCCAGACACCACAGTGTAATCGAACATTTGTTGAATATGCTGGGAAGAGTAGATCCACGGAAACCCCCACCTGCTGCAATCGCAGGACCCAAATGATCTGCTGCCAACAGGCTGGTGCCAAATACCAATTAACACCCTCAGAGATCTCTTGTCCATCCCTCAACTAGTCAAAGCTGTTCTGACTGAGGACTGTGGATGTACACAATATAAAGCAAGGGCTTTTATTTTTGTAGCTTATTTGTGTGTCTCACCTGCTGCACGGTCCATGAGACAGTAATCTGGAGAGTTCTCAACAAAGACTAACTCATTCTTGGTGCTTCCCTTAAAGTCCTTGTCAGCCACAATAAATCCTGTCCCATCTTGGTTCATGGTTACCTCGACGGCTGTGTTGTACTTCTTGCGAAGATAGTCTCCAGTTCGCCTGAAGTCAGACATAGCCAGCCAACAGGTTCTGAGAGAACAGGAACCACTGACCCCATGACACTTGCACTCCAGCTTCATAAAGCGCTTCACTGCCTGGAGCAGAGATCAAAGGTGACACAGTGTCAAGCCAACAATGTTGTACAAGAGAAGATGTAGGTGTAATAAGCTCTCCTAGCATAACGGTTAGCTAAATATTCTTAATGTAACAGCTTTTACGTCATTATCCTTCAGAGACGTCTTTACTGAAAAAGCCATGTCAATAACTTGAACAGTGCAGAATTTAATGCTATGGGACCCTCATATGCAGTTATCATATTAATATGCATTATGCTGGATCATCAATAGATGCTGGGATAATGCGGAATATTCTCAATAAACAGATTCTTAGTCTTAAGAGATTTACTTCCTAGTCAAGTAAGTCAACTAGTCTAGTAGTTGAAGACATCTTTAGGCAAAAAAGAATTTCTAATGATTTTAAGAGTCGATGTTTATTATGACCAACTTTAAGCTTGGAGAGACCAATCTATGACTCACAGAAGACGGATGAGTTGAAGGGCCATGTGTATCTCTCAGGTTTTGTGACACGTCTTTTTTTGGTTTTTATTTCTACTTTTTTTTTTTTTTCATTGGGTCTTTGTTAAGCTATCTCTTGTGTGCAGACACAAAAAGGGTTCATCGCTTGAGTTGGGTGCCTTTTTATGTTTCAATAAATTTGTAGGTCAATGTTACGTTTAACAAAAACAACAATTAAAGCATCCCCTGAAAATGTTCAGGTGCAAGGACTGATGAAGAACCTTCAGAAAGCCTGGAGAGGTATTTGCTTCTCTTACTTTTTTGTTTTCATTGTTACTTCCTAAATATGTCTAAATTTACAATTCCCCTAAGAGATAAAGCTTAAACATTAATATAAAAAACGTTTCCACTGACCATTCGACCGCATCGGTTGTTGTGCAGATTCATCAGGGCTCGAGCATCTTTCACCATCCTCTCACGGGCGTCGACGAAAGCTTTGGCAAATTTTATGCCATAGTTGATGTTGTCGCTGCATCCGCCCCAGTCAAAATTGCCTTTGTCGTCACTGTCTCGCCCTCGTTTTTGACTGTCACAGGTGCAGATCTTCATTTCCCCCTGACTGCAGGCCCTGGTAATGGCGTAGACCACTCCTGCTGAAGAGATGGCGTACACAAATGCTGCCTCTCTGCTGCCTGGATAGACGGGGAAGGGAGCGTTGCAATTGCAATCATTTAAAGAAGTAACTTATGACTGTTGGTAAAGAGAGACCTAATATTGCCTATATCTGACATGTGACATTATTCAAAAGTTGTCATAGCACTTGTTTTTCTCAGCTGTTCTTCTAGTGCCCAGAGTCATGTGTTATTGGTGAGTATAGCAGTCATCTCTTTTCTACATTCTACAAAGTAGGCATACCAAGATCAGTCCATTTATGGTGGATGGTCCAGACAGTGGTAGCAGCATGTCAGCTATAACATTAGACCAGCCGACTCTCCTTTCACCTATTAATTTGCACAGATGGCAGCTTTCTAAGTCATTGAGCAGTGTTTTCATTTTAGATGAGAGGAGATTTTGGAGGTTATTTGGTCTGGCTGTCCCACCCTCCTCCTGTTCTCATTCCTGCTCACGCAATGAAGCAGAACACAGGCGAGATGTCAGGGAGTAAAGCTTTGTCTGGCTGCCAGAAACATCTACCCAAATATTTACATCTCCTATTACTGTTTATACATCACCAGTGTGGATCTCTCAATCTGCTACTTGTTTTCAGAGAACATCCACTTTCCCAATGTTCCTTCATTCCTGAGAAGGTAAAAAACCCACAACAATTTCTCTTTCTGTTTGCATTCCGGGGTAAAGTTGATTTAATAAGACACCTATTAATTCCCTGCTTATCTGATAACAGAGGAGACATTTATGAGGATGATTAACTTGAGTGTCACTGATATAAACAACCACTGTCACGCACAAAGAACCACACAGATAGAAGCCTTAGCCATGTATGTTCAGACTCACTTCGGAGCATCACCCTGCCAAAAACAGTGTGGTCCCGGTCCAGCGTGCTGCAGTTCCAGCGGTGGTGTCTGAACTGATGTTGGCACTCTTTGATCCACTCTTTGGCTCCCTCGCTGATGGACTGCATCAGGTCTGGGTGCCGCTGGCAGAGCTGCCGCTGCTTGTTCACAAGACCGGGAATGTTGTCGCATATCACCCGCGCACCCAGAGCTCCGATGTACCTGCGCACAGATCCATCGAACACAGTGTTGGTAAATTCAAGGACAATTCCCCTGAAAGCACACTCTTTGGTAGTGCACCTGCAGCTGTCACTAGACTGTGTGCCAGGATTTCTTTTTCCAGTGAGTTTACTTTCAAATTTGCCTTCCTGTTTTCATCGAGACAAAAACAGAAAAAATGTGTAGCTAGCTGAGCTAGCTGATTTGCAAGAGGTTAAGTCCAATCTGATTTTCAAGAAATATACAAATAGTGGAGATAGTACAAATAACAGAGACGTATGTTTGCTGCATTTAGGGTAATGGGGTGAAGCCCACTCTACATGGCCTTTGGTGTGCTACTTGTTTTAAATGCCAACACATGTAAGCTGTCAGCGTGAAATCTGGTCTGACTACATCTTCAAACAATTCACATTTCTAATCAAATGTGTAAAAAATTGGGAACTCTGAGTGAAGAAGATTCCAGTGTTTACCAGATATAGAGGGTCCCCCAAAAAATCTTTGGGTTATATTATGGGTAACCAACATTTAAGAGCTCATTAAATTCTATGGACTCAAAGGAGCCTGCTACTGATCACTGCTGCTTTCATGTTAAAAAAAGCCCTTTAACTATCAGACATCTGTACTCAGTGCTCCTTCTTTGTAATCACAGGGTTCTCAAGTGCAGCCTGCAGTCATGGAGCAACCCCTGAGCAACATTTAATTCAGTTGCCATTCAGTGAGGTACAGCAGTATGGTAGAAAATATTCATTATATATTTTAAAAAAATGTTTTAATATTCCCAAATGTGGCTAGTGCAAAAATAGGAAAGGCTCTCCCACTAATGGAGAATTTTAAACTAGCAAAAGAAATAGATAAAAAAAAAAGAAAACAATTACCAGCATAAATTTAACAAACTGACAAATTTAAAAGATTAAACAGCCAGGTGCTCCTAGCAGGTGTGGTCTGAAGCATTCAGGTTTGTGTTAACACAATGTCATGTGCAATACTCAAAGAAATTACAGATAAATAAATAATAATAAAGCAAGTAAATTATGGCTTGTTTGGAAAAGTTGCCAGGAGAAAGGCTCTTCTCTAAAAAGACAAGGCAGCATGTCTTAGTTTTGCAAAGTTGTATCTAAGCAAACCACGAGACTGCCCCAGGACAAAAGCAGTTCTTTGGTTTGTTTTATGGAACATTAAACATCAAGTAAGCTATAGTAAAGCTGTTAAGTGGATTTTATTGCCTTCAGACAAAGAGAGGACAAACTGTTTTTCTTTTACTGTCTTCTGTGCCAGTTAACGTTACTAGTTTACTTTTCTCCCCGTGTAAAATGTTTTTCGATGAATCTAAATTATTGATAGTGTTCCTATTTTTCTTCACATTCATCCCCATTGTCTTCTTAAGACTCAGATATTCAGGATGTTGAAGAGATTATTACATTCCTCTCGTTCAGTGAAATGCATTTGCTTCCTGCTTTCTTCAAATAATCCCCAACAACTCTTAAGAAGGGTGATCACATGCTGATTGCATTGTGACTCTGGGGGTTCTCTTATCAACAGGACATGGCAGTCATCTACAGTACAAATGAGCACTCCCCCCTCAGTCCATCTATAAGCCTACACACTCTATTCTCCATCCGGATATCATTATAGTCCCTAATCGCAGCCGCATTTGTGTTGCCTGGCCACTGAGACAGAAACAGATATAGCAGGTAGTTTCCACTCCTCTTATGGCTGTCCCAGTCCCATTCTAGATGCAACTATCTGCCTGAGCAGTATAGCAGAACAGAAGCACTGCTTGTGTTTACTGTGTGTTGTACAAACCAGCTGTGCCAAAGGACCCCTGACTCTCCATGAGGACACACACAGAAGAAGAGAGAAGTGCAGCAAGGCGCACAGTGCTTATATAAATTATTGCAATAGTTAAAAATAGGCCTAAACAATTCAAAAGAAGATTTTAAAAAAAAGCAGGAATCAATTACGTTTTTCTTTGGAATTTCTCAACGATTTATTCACAGTTTACTCTGAATTTGCCTGAAAGGGAAACTCAAGAGCAAATTGGATGATATGTGCTTTCGGCTCTCTTGGGAAATTACCAGACATAGCATTATTTACAATGGGTGCGTTTTAGCTTTAAATAAATTCATAAATTAGATCTTAACTGTTATGAAGTGTAGGGTAAGATCTTAAAATGGGGGGTTTCCCTTGGCTAGTTAAATGTAAAGTCATTTAATAGGTTTTCTGTTAAGTGTCACCTGAAATATGAGAACAACAATGTCAGGTGAGAGAGACTGGGGGTGGGGGGTCTCCAGCATGTTTTAGGTCTTGAAAACCTCAAGAGAAATCATCAAGGGGCATTTATTCATGCACCAACGCCTGCACCTGCCGTGTACTCTGGGCAAAATAGATGGATAGGGGAGACGCCCCCTTCCCCCCATACACACACACCCAAACACACACATCAACATCATTAATCTTCATGAACTTTGGATACACAGCCTGCTCTTTTCGTTTATGGATGTGGATGTTCATGTGAGCAAAGTAGATCTTTTACTAGAAAATCTGAGAAGTAAGCAGGTGTAAATTACATATAAACAGACGGATTTCTCATCTTTAAATCTGTAACAGCTCCAAGGACAAGGATACATAGGGTTAAACAATAAAATCCACTGTAAGATAACTTTTTCAACTGCAAACTTAATTAATTAAAACTAATCGTTATCTATATTTTCTGGGTGAAATTTTGCCCTTGTTGTCGTTGTTGTAAGTCGTACTTTATATTCGATTGGTATGTGACACCAACCAATCGGACGAACCATCAAATTCCTCTCAGTGGTGAAACTTACCACCACGATGAATCCACTATCGGTGTGAATATGAGCAGGAGCAAAATAAAGATGAAGTATATTTTAGAGATGGGTTTGGAGTGATGGTGGTTTCCTGCCCCATTTCTGATCCTCATTGCTTTCTCCGACAAGCCCGTAGATGTCATCGTGTTTCTTCTTTTCATGTATTGGCTGTGCAATAAGGCGTGAAAGTCCTTGACGCCTGCGCGTCCTCCATCATCTGGTGGAAATAAAAGTTAGGAAAGAGGAAAAGTGCTTTTGAGATCCCTCAGTTATTCGCTGTCATAATGCAGCCTTGATTTTCTAGCATTACATCCATAAGCTTTGGACATTGCACTTAAGTGAGCGGGATGAGTCCTTCGTTTCAGACAATCTTGCGTAGATTCACGTCTTCTCCTCAGCTGTTGCGCTCCGAATCTGGCTTCACTAAATCTGTGAGAAGTTGCAAACTATAAAATCCAATGCCGATGATCAGTTTCGTAACTGATAAAAGCCGCTCGAATCAGATCCTGACATAGGAAAAGTGTCTGCGTGGATGGGACAGGCGCTGCTCACCTTTCATCCCACTTGCCGATAATGAAGATGCGCACCGAAACGCTGCGCTTTCCTCTTCAGTGCGTCAGCTGTCTGCGCCTCCCCTCCCTCCCTTCTCACCACACCAATGCCCTTTGTCAAAAAATTACAGAGACCGGTATGCAGATCTGCAGACAGAAGGAAAGGAGGTTCTGCCTGACTTCTCCCGGCAAATCAATTAATCCACTCTTTAATTTACACCTGCATCACAGTTCGTTAGCTCATTTAATTAAAAGGTCGGTAAGAAGGTTGTCTCTGTTTTCTCTTTCTGTCATATGAGAGAAAGTTTAGTTTGGAAAAATCAGATCTCAGTAATGATGCAAGTGTGTAAGCGTTTACACATGATCAGAAATACATAATCCTTCCCAGGGCTCATTGCATCTGCTCCTCTAATGTAACTGGTCTCATCTTTTTTAAGATTTCAGGTTGTGTGGTCCCTGGCAAAGGAACACATGTTTAAACAGATTTACAATCGCTGACATGCAGAAGTTTCAGTCCAAAATTAAACTTGTCATTAAGTGGCCAGTTTGTTTATTACGTTCAGCAAAACTCTTTGCAAATCTGGCTTTACAGTAAATATAACCTTTAACAGCATCTATAGAACAGAGGAGAGAGTTCCCCAAAAGAAACAGATCCAATAGATGCATGCAAAGGTATGCACTCATAAGGTAAAAGGCAAAGGGTGATTACACAATACTGATCCGGTCCAGATTTTGCTCTTATTCTTCTGTTTTGTTTGTTTACCGTACATTGCACGAAGCCACTCCTATGCATATGTTTTAATAAACTGTATGCATGTATGTGTATAATATATACATATAAGAGAAGACATCAAGCTTGCAATCTACACCAAACCTGATCTGAACCACCCAAGCAGTGCTTTTGCTGTTTGTGTGTGTTTTGCGTTTTCTTCTGTTCGTCTTTTCCACTATATCCAAGTGCTTGCTCAGTGGGGATCATCTGATTGTTGCTGTTTTCTCTCTAATATTGTAGGGTCACTATGTTGCAATATAATGGGCCTTGAAGTGACTGTTATTGCGAATTAGTGCTGTATAAATAAAACTGAATCAAACTGCTAAAAGTTGACTCCACTCAGCAATTAGGCCTGGAAATACTTAAGGTGATGGAGAGTAAAACCCCAGTGCTAGAGTGTCTTTGTATTGAAAGCGTGTGGCCTGTGTGTTTGTGGCCACCTACGCCTTCCCTGTGAAGAGGAACACATTTGATTGTTGAACTGTTTGGCTTCCCTCATGTTTGTCATTTTTGATTCTTTTTGTTTCTCTTAGTAATCACGGCTAAATATCTCTTCTGCCTCCCCGTCTCCTTTTTTTTTACAACAAAGGTCATGTAAGAGGCGTACACATGGATGAAAGATGCACCAGTATACGTTTAGACACTGAAAGCCCAGATGCTGCAAGAGTTCCCTCCAGTTACAACTGAACATGTAGAATAAAAATTTCCTTCTTTATTAATTTGAGCTCCACGTGAATAAAAGTAGATTTATTGTCGATCTTGAACAATTTTTAGAACTGTCACGTCCTGCAGTATTCTGCGGTTTATCCAAAATTTGGCATAGTGCTCAGTATAATTCCCTTCTGCTGAAAAATGATTAATAAATTACTAAAGTTTCCTCTGTGCCATGCAACACAGTGGGAGAATAAAATGTTCTTTTTTGGTACAAGCATTTGAAACTCCCTTTGTAATTCCTCTGGAGCGCATGTTTGTAGTTCAGCTCATACCAGCAGTCCTGATCCAATATCATCTGGGTAATGTGGAAACATCTGACCCACCTCAAGGACATTTCTGGCTTGTATCCCTTCGACTTAGGTGAGTAAATCAGTGTCTTGTGTATCCAGCAGGTAGGCAGACCAAGATGTCATGTGTATGAGTGTGTGAAGTCATTTTAATCAGTGCAAATCCAGGGTGTTATTTAGGGATGTAAGTAAAGGTCAATAACAATGCTGCTGCCTAAAAATACCACAGCACAGAGAGGAAATGTAATAGTGTGTTTTACATGTGAATGCAAACTGTTTTTCAGCTGAGAATTTACCAAGTTTTTTCTTAAAAGTACTATTTATCATTGTATAAGTATGTAATTGTAAATTTTACTGATATAACATTGCATTCTTTACAATAATAATTTAGTAATGAAGGCTTAAAATCTCTGGCTCGTCTATTACTGCACATTTTCTCTTCTCGTCCTATGTCATAGACAAACATAGGCCAGCTGTTTGTCCTTCAGTTATGTCATACCTGGCCTTAGGGCCATACTATGATCCTCATTACATGTAACCTTGTCTTTCTTTACCACAGGACAAGCTATTTTACAGTGACAACTCCATAACAAATTGCTTTACAGGGAGCAGGTGATGGTGGCGATAACATTCATCATCCAGGCCTCCCTCTACCCCTGTCTCGCTTTGAGCCAGCTCCAGCTGTGGTCTTTAAGGGGCTCAATATGGGGGCTTGAGCTCCTATTCTCAGCTCGTGTCGTGGCCCGGGATAATTTTGGATGGAGAAAATGAGATCAAGAAAAGAAAAGGAACAGGAGAATGAGAAAGTGACTGGGCCACTGCAACCACAGATGAGTGTGTAGATCGTAATGATTACAACATTTTGGGGGGTCCAATGCTGTCACTCATCGTCGATACAGACGATAAAATGAACGGCCAGACAGTTGTACTGTGCTTTCTTGGAACACGTCTGACTCCAAGATGAGGAGGCTGTAAATTTGTGGTTTAGCTCCTGACAGGTTATGCGCTCCCTCCTTGACCTCCGTTTCATCATCTCATTCACACGACATGACACTGCAACCATATGCCTAGTCTGAAATTGTAATAAAGCATGCCAGGGAGAGGCATGTGCTGTCAGCAATCCTTTTTCAAGTTCAAGTTCATTTATTTATATATAGTGAAATAGAGTGTATATTTTGCAGAGTGTGCAGTATCTAGCCCAGTTAATCTGAATATCAGTTCGGTAGGCTGATATTTTGCCTTTGTGGCTTAACATCGGTAAAACTGCATAACCTTGCTGAAAACTCACTTTAGAAGTTATCATACCTAGACTACAAAACAATGTAACTGATATTTATTTTGCTAAATACCAAGATTTTCAGGGTCCTCACATAACGTTTTCAATTACTGACTATTTCTTGAACTCTGTGCCCTGCTGCTGAAGGCATCAGTGGCGTATGAGACAGAGTGAGCAGCCAGCATGGCTTCCCGGACTGCTGATGAGCTGTGACCCCTCACAGCTCATCAACCTGAGCCCGTGTTTATGGAGGCGGAGAAGGATGGGGCTTTGCTGTGTCTGTGCATGTCTGTGTTAGAAGTGGAGTACAGCTATGCTGTCCTACACTGGAATGTTAATTAGGTGAACTGAAAAAAGAGAGAGGTGACCTGTCCTGTTAACCGCCCATTGCTTTGCCCGCAACCAGGAGGGTAATTTAGTGTATCAAAAGAGCCGAGTTAGCGAGTGTTCACTGCTAGGACACTCGGACTAAGAATGTGATCGAGTCAGAGAGAATGCACACCGTGTCAATTTATTAGTCTGCTGCTTCTCCTCTTTCTGTATTTTGTGTGGACTTATAATAAAAAAAAAGGTTAATAAAAGGTCATCGCCGCAATCTAGCTTCTCGCTCTTAACTGACTCTCTTAACAAGGAGCACAAAAACCAACCAGCTGAGTTAATTCAAAGATCTCATATTCATTTTTGAAATGGAACAAAAGCAAAATATAAAAATCCTCTTCTTAGTACACCCTTCCTTCAATCTAAGATATATTTCCATAAGATATGGGTGCTTCTTGCTCTGACTAAATTTTTTTTAAAAAGAAGCAAATAATACACTAACCTAATATCTTATGTTAATGGATTCACTCTCATTGTCAGCACAGAACTTACTTGATAAATGTTGCATGTAAGGCCTTCACACAGAGGTTTCTGTCATTTCTAATGCATGTAGAGAAATAACAATTTTTCAGTCTGTAAAATTACAAACAGATGCACAGATAAACACACTTGTTTTTTACAGCTATATTTATGTAAAAGTACAATATAGAAATTGATTTAAAAATCTGATTCCATTCACAACTCAGCAAAGGCACCTGTGGCTTCTTATCAAGCACTGACCTCTGGTGGACACGGTTTGGCAGTACAATATTGAAAACATAAAAAGAAGCCACAACGTTTAAAATTACCTGTGTAATATTGTATGATATGAAGTTAAGTCCAGTAATTCTATTCACTGTGATGGACTGTGTTGGATTGTTAGACTATGTTTTTCAGAGTTGATTTGATGCAATGTTTGCTTGCTCTCAAGCACATCATTCCCAAAACAAAACAACATTTTTTCCTCTTTTCCTGCTCAAGACAACACACTCGCGTTTCTTCAAGACAACAGAACAACAGAGCAAATAACAGAATGATCAAAAAGATAACAGACATAAAGATGCACTGATACAGACAAGTGTCTTATGGGAAATAGACATTAAAAACTCTGTTTATTAAAGTAGTTTAATCGGACTAAAGGTTTGCTACATGCTCTGTCAACACAGACAGCAGCTGTTAATGTATTTTAGAATTAATCCGATTTATATTATAATTTATATATATAAATAATATATATATTATAGTAACTTATATATTATTATATATATTATGTATATTATTATATAATATATATATTACTATAATAAGTATATATTATATATACTATATGATATATATATAACACCAATGATGTCCTTTTTTTATGTTATTTAAACAAGTTATTGGCAATAATACCTAAAACACTATAATTCCTGTAGGAGGGCTAATAAACAGATGAATGCATGACAAAATTTAGGATATATTTATTAAAGATACCACTTTCCAGCCTAAAAAAAAAAAAGTACTGTAAAAAATATAATTAAAAACAGAGGAATACCCAGCATGGCAGGATGCGATATTAATCAAAGCTATGATTGGCTACATGTTTTTCTTATAGTGATTTGTTATAAAGGACAAAGACATGATGATCAGAACAGTTTTTACAACAGCACCTGCATATAACCATC